AATGTTTATATGTTACTTTATTGACCTTTTAAGGGCACATCTGGACTCCGTGATGTAGACCTTGACCTTGGGGCCTCAGAATTAATATTAGTCACAAAATGACTATAAGTAAAGAAAAAAGTTAGTTTTTGTAGTTTATTTAGATGTAATTTACACACTTGTTACTGTCAATGATAATAGTACTTAAAAGGACCCCAATGAAAATGTCACTGATTTTTTTTTTTTTAGGTTATCCTAGGTAATTTACACTATGTATGATAATTGTATTTATGTGTACCTCTACCTAAGTAAGCGTACATACAATGTAAATAAGTAAACCTGACTTAATTAGGTAAGTGTAGGTTATGTCTACATAGTGGGGCAGCGGGCCTTCAGCAGCAACAGCCTGGTTGACAAGGCAAGCACCAGACGAGCCTGGCCCATGGCCGGGCTCCGAGAATAGTGAAACTCTCGAAACTCTTCAAAGGTATATCAAAGAAAGGTAAAGTCTACCACTGTTGTATGCTAACACAGCAGTGTACCCGCACAACTATTGCGTAAATTTATATTGAAAATATTTGTAGATTTCACTAATAAATTATTATTTCCCAAGCATATACCAGAGTTTATTTTCCTATTCCTAAGTATTTGCAAACTTGTCTCTAAGGTCCTTATTGTTATTATTATTGTAAATTTAAAACAAAGTGGTGAACTCACATGAGTCGTACAGAAAAGAGTTGAGGTAATCTGGACACAGGCTGTTTGCTTATTTGCAGAAATAATTTTTAGTTTATCTCTTACATTTTTAGTATTTCCTGTTTTTGTAGTGCATGCTGACCTAAGGTAAGCTAAGGTAAACCTTAGTAAGCTATCTTATCAAGCTAGTTTATATAGGGTGATTGTTTGCAGATGCAATTGAAAACACACCCAGAATCAAATAGTACTATGAAGGACTTTTTTTTCTTAATTTTTTTTTTTCCATTTTGGATACAATTTTTTCAATTACATTGACAAAAAAAAATCATTAGAGGGACCTTACAGTATTTAGAAAATCTACGAATAGGGTTATAGACTGTAGTGCATTTTCAGCAGGCATCTCTGGGTCCTTGTCTTTCCCGTATATAGTGTCTCAACTCCAGGGTTCAGTTTTGAATATTTAATTACAGTACAGTAGTATATTGATTTGTCCACTACTCGTGGGACTTGTAAGGTGTCCCCTCCATCATGGGAGGTACCTTGATAATAATGAGGGTGCTCTTATCCAAGCAAATGGATCTGTCTTTCCTTTCCTTGGATTGAACCTAATTGCCTCTCCTCCCACTGACCACTACAGGTTAGTCCTTCCCAGTGAATGTAATAATAATGTTTACCCCCTTATTCTGAAATACTGTTAATACTGTATTAATCACACCAGTGCTGATGTAGAACTGCTTAGAAGACTATCAGAGATTTCCTTTGGATTATTAAATTGGAGGGTTAGTAACCCCAGGATAGCCCAGCAAAATCACTTAATCATCGAGGACTTGTCTATCTTGTTTCCATTGGGGTCCTTTAATCCTTTTCCTGACCATGTGACCTGCACTACTCGGCTAACACCCAAGTACCTACTCACTGCTAGGTAAACAGGGGTAGTAGGTACGAGGAAATACCCATCATTTTATTTGTTCTGGGATTGAACCTCGGTCCCTCATTGTACGAGCTGAGGTTTCTACCAACTATCCCATGAGAAATAAAGTAATATTGTTAGATTCATTGGATGCAGTTTAAAGGTTCTAGGCATTTACCACTAAAAAGTCTTTGTATAAGACTTGCAGAATCACTTGTTTCTTGTAATCTGCCAAAATAGGCACCATTGCTGTAGCAGTGATACCAGATTATGGGCATTGCCAAACTACAGGAAATTGAACTGAAGACATTCACTTGTGCCACTTTAACCCTTTGTTTTCGACGTATAAATACGTCTTACGAGCCAATGTTTCTGACGTATATATAATCAATAATTCTAGCGGCTTCAAATCAAGCGGGAGAAAGCTGGTAGGCCCACATGTGAGAGAATGGGTCTGTGTGGTCAGTGTGCACCACATAAAAAAATTCTGCAGCACACATTGCGTAATGAGAAAAAAAAAAACTCTGATTGTTTTTTGGGAATAAAACGCCGACTTTGAGGTGTATTTTCGTATAGTATTTATCATTGTATTCACGTTTTCATGGTCTTAGGTGATAAAATGGAAAACATATTACAGAAATAGAGATGATTTTCATTACTTTGACGATGAAAACGACCTTGAAACTGAGCTCAAATTAGCGGAAATGTTCGATTTTTACCAATGTTCAGGAGTAAACAAATCACACCACACGTCCAATACACATCAACTGGGGAGTCTAATATTCTTTCACTAGTGCACTGATATTATTTATACCATTTTCACACTAATGCAGTAGTCTGCATAACAGTAAATTTTGTATTTTTTTGTATGAATAAAAAATCAAAATAGAAAGCAATAATAATATAAGAGGGGCCTAGAGATGTGACTAATGAACAGAGGATATGCCATTTTAGTGCCAAGAATGTCTACCTTGTTTATTCTGGACCCTATTTTGAAATTGGCATCTTTTTTAATTTGCGTGAAATTGGCCAAATTGCCAATTTCTGACCACTATATTGGGTAGTTCAAATTGGTAAATGGGCAGTTTCTTGTACTCAGCTGATAGATAAAATAGAGTTCTAAAGAAATAGCTATGAGTTTGGTCAACTGGAACAACGAAATTGGCTGAAAACAGGGCTCAAAGTCAGCGAAATCGCCGATACACTTATGTCGCCGATTCCGCTAACTTCGCGGGAGCGTAATTCCGTGAGTTTTTGACCAAATTTCGAACTTTTGGTGTCATTACCATCGGGAAAAGATTCTCTATCATTTCATAAGAAAAAATAATTTTTTTTTTTCGAATATTTGGCGACATAGAATGACAGTTTCAGAAAGGAGCCTGAAACAGTCAAAGGGTTAATCAATGTATTGCAAATACAGTGGACCCTCGACCAACGATGGCATCGATTAACGATAAATCCGACTAGCGATACATTTTAACCCAAAAATTTTGCCTCGACTAGCGCTACAAAACTCGACCAACACTATTCGTTCCGTCTGAGACGCGTCCACTTCTGGCCAGTGTTTACAAGCCAGCCAGCCACCGCGGTCGCTTCCAAGCATACAATCGGAACATTTCATATTATCACAGCCTTTTTAGTGATTGCACCTGCAAAATAAGTCCCCATGGGCCCCAAGAAAGCTTCTAGTGCCAACCCTACAGCAAAAAGGGTGAGAATTACTATGGATATGAAGAAAGAGATCATTGCTAAGTATGAAAGTGGAGTGCGTGTCTCCGAGCTGGCCAGGTTGTACACAAAACCCCAATCAACCATCGCTACTATTGTGGGCAAGAAAATGGTAATCAAGGAAGCTGTTCTTGCCAAAGGTGCAACTATGTTTTCGAAACTGAGATCGCAAGTACTCGAAGATGTTGAGAGACTGTTATTGGTGTGGATAAACGAAAAACAGATAGCAGGAGATAGCATTTCTCAAGCGATCATATGTGAAAAGGCTAGGAAGCTGCATGACGATTTAATTAAAAAAATGCCAGCAACTAGTGGTGATGCGAGTGAATTTAAGGCCAGCAAAGGTTGGTTTGAGAGATTTAAAGGGAAGGGAAGTAACCCCAGAAAAGGACTTGCCACCTCAAGTCCTAATGGAAGGGGATTCCCCTTCTAAACACTAAGACCATCAACACTCTCCCCTCCTCCCATCCCATCAATCATCACCAGATCTTCAATAAAGGTAAGTGTCATGTAACTGTGCATGTCTTCTTCAGTTTGTGTGTATTAAAATTAATATTTCATGTGGTAAAAACAATTTTTTCATACTTTGGGGTGTCCTACACGGATTAATTTAATTTCCATTATTTCTTATGGGGAAAATTAACTTGACTAACAATAATTTTGACTAACGATGAGCTCTCAGGAACGGATTAATAGCGTTAGTCGAGGGTCCACTGTAATATTATCATCGTCTGATATAATGGTAATTTCTTTTCATTAGGGTTATGAAGGGATAAAATTTGGGATGGAAAAAATATCCACAAGAAAAGGATTCACCATCATAAAATGCATACTGCATTGTAGTTGTAACATCATTGTAGTTGTAAGCTGTAACATCATTGTAGTTGTAAGCTGTAACATCATTGTAGTTGTAAGCTGTAACATCATTGTAGTTGTAAGTTGTAACATCATTGTAGTTGTAAGTTGTAACATCATTGTAGTTGTAAGTTGTAACATCATTGTAGTTGTAAGTTGTAACATCATTGCATGTCCAAAGAAAAAAAGAACAAGATACAGGAAATTCATTAGCACCTTTTCGGTACTCGGGTCCCACTGTCCTGGGGTGCAAAACATTGGGGAAAATATTTTACAGAAGTGTTAAGCATAGTGTGACTTCTGATCTTTTATTTTATTCTTGCACTTGGTAACATACAAAATATGTATGGGAAAAAAGCCTTGATTTAACAAACTGATAAGGGAGGAGGCAGGCAGTGGTGATAGTGGTGGATAGAGATGAGATTGTTTTGTCATTATTGCAACCTTGACAGATACTTGTGTGACCAGTGGGCTTTGTCTCTTACTTTTTTAATCGGTTAACCAGTGGATTTTGTCCCATATTTCCAAAGTCTGTTAAATCAAGGTCCCTTAAATTGAGAGTTTACAATAAGCAGTCTGGTTCTTTACTTAAGTTTGTTTTCAGGAAGGGAATTAAATTTTTATGCTATATAGACCTTTCATGGTAGATGCCTTTATGCTAGTGAAGGGTTTATATTCTAGAGAATTGAAGGTACCCTTCCCTTCTGTGGATCAAGCCAATTACCTCCCATTCTTCAGTTGCTGTGATTCCTATGGGTTTAATGCTTCCCCGTTAATGTAAAAATATAAAATAATTCTGACTAATTTGCAATAAAATTTTCTTGTCCTGCAGGATACTTTCATCTGTGAGACAAACATGTCAGCCATTCCACCGCCAGTAGAGCAGCATCAGCAGCAGCTCAATGAGGCCAGCTGCCTAGTCAATGGCCAGAATGAAGGAGCAGCAGCAGCAGCAGCTGTAGCAGTAGATACAGATGAGAATAATATGCCAGTGGAAATCAACACCCAAGATTTGAACTTTGATCTTCAGATGGTCCTTGATGGATTCATGCAGTGTAAGGGAGACGATGGACAACTCTACTTGGATGGATACCTGCGTGCCTACAGTGAGCTGAACAAGTACAGTAAAATAATTGGTGTTTGTTTCAGTTTGGATTCTAAAGTGTAGGAAAAGTGGCATTTTATCTGCTGGAATTTTGCAGGAAGATTGAGATTGTAGGTAAAGCAGAAGAGGAGAAACACTTTGAACTACAATACTATCTAAACAAGAGAAACTCTTAGAGTTACTGTACTACCTAAGCTGAGGTTGCTAATAGTGGTTAACACTAAGTATGTAACAAGGCCATATATTGAGCCAGCATGAAAGACAAACAGGTTTTTGTTTTTCAATTGTACTGCAAGATGATAAAATCTCCTTGGTTAGTTGCTGTACCAGCCCACCATGTAGATAACAGTTACACATCTTAACACATTCGAAATACAGAATTACTGCACAACTAGAAAGGATGTTAAACAGCTTTCATGAAGCAGACAGACAATTTTATTTTAAAGATGTATACAATTGTTACAATTGTGTATCAGTTGCTGAAATTTATTTCATACATTTTGTAAAGTCCTTGGTTATATATAGAATTTCAGGCAGACTAAAATAAACTTAAACTACTGTACTTAGTTTTATACTGTTATAGTTGAAATTCATTATTTGAATACTAGGTTTAACATGATTAAGTTGTCTGAAGATAAGATTATTAAATGTAATGATAATTTTAAGTAAGAAAACTATGTATATTAAGAATAACAAAATTGTATTGACAATTTTAGTTATGCTGTAGTAGTCATTGGGAGGATAGAAACATAGTGGGACAAGTCCACGAGCATAAGTCCATAAGTGGGTTGCATTTGATATTTATATTCAATCTATGCAAATTTATTTTCTCAATCTTCTAGTTCCATTATTTTTGGGGTCCTTTTATTTACATGGAGTGTCCACTCATTTTGAATCAGTTATGTAAGATATCGTAGATATTTGTTTCCTGTATTATGTCTGTGCCTTCTATTTCAGTGGTAATTCTGCAATGTATATGTCATAATAAAAATAAAAGTCGCAATATGACTGGATCAGTTCACTAATGTAACCCACAATTTTGAGAGGAAACTTCAGAGAACAGTTTGGTCTGTCCTGAACCATTTTCAAGCCAAGACTTGATAATAGTTCAAGGCAGACATAAATGTAGTCTAAAGTTTCCTTTCCAAATTGTGGGATAACAGTGAATCATAATGGGACATAAATTTGATGCATATCTTTCATCTTCATATGTTCCTTGCTTATATTCTTACATTTTTATATGTTTGTGATTTAAATTCGTCTTTATTATTCTTCCACAGATTTCTGAAAATTCTCGGAACAATCTTCAACTTTGTCTCTCATGATATTCAGAAAAAGGTATGGTTGTATGTACATTACAGTAGAATAATTAATGACCTTAGGTTGCATTAAATACAGTGGACCCCCGCATAACGATTACCTCCGAATGCGACCAATTATGTAAGTGTATTTATGTAAGTGCGTTTGTACGTGTATGTTTGGGGGTCTGAAATGGACTAATCTACTTCACAATATTTCTTATGGGAAAAAATTCGGTCAGTACTGGCACCTGAACATACTTCTGGAGTGAAAAAATATCGTTAACCGGGGGTCCACTGTACAAGTGAAATTGAGTGTTGTATCTGTTATCTGTAGTAAAGTTGTGCTACATTGTTTTGCCTTACTGTACATTTATTTTATCTTGATTAGCATGGTACACTTGTATGTTGAGCTGTTGTTAATCAAACCTTCAATGTACAGTACTTGAGAGAAGTTATTTGTGCAAGTTAAATTCCTTTTAAGAAAATGATAGAAAATATGAGTATTTTACATGTCTTGAAAATTACATTAATACAGTATAGTAGTATATATTGTTATAAAAATCACCCATCCTTAGTGTGAGACAGCCAGTGAGGTAAAAAAAATTTGTTTCACATTTTTGTATTGCAGTACTAGTGACAGGAATTTCCACTTAACAGGTGACGATTCTTCAGTGTTATCGCAAAGGAGGTGCTGGGGACTACTACTATTCAATTCAATCCATGATTGAGTATGAAAGAGAAAACAATATCCTGACTGGCAGTGACCAGCAGTCTGGATCCCGAACCTTGTTGCGACTTCACCGAGGACTTGGTGAGAAACTATCAAGGTTCCATGACTAGTTGTACTGTTTTTGACTTGGTTATCTTCTAATAATGCAGTACCAGTCTCCTTGGTTTTGCCTGAATTGTTTTTGTGCAATTTTATTATGTACAGTACAGTGTATACATTACTTGCTTCTGCAAAGTCAGCTGGCATGTACTGGATTTTATCATGGGCAAACTGGGTGTTGTAGATTTTAAGATTTAGCATATACTTTACTATATTAACTTGCCTTATTATGAAAAATATATTTTAGCATTAATGATATAGAAGTGAAGGATCCCTTATCTGAAACTCGAAAGACTCCAAAATCTGAAAGTTTTCTTGAGCGCCGACATGATACCACAAATGGAAAATTCCAGTTGGCTTTAGAGAAGTCCCAAGGCATTGCACAATGCCTGGCGTCGGTTTATCAACAGTCATCACTGCAAGACTGATTTGCATTACTCCGTGATTACTGTGTGTTCTGTGCATGTTTTCTGCTCTCTGCCTGCAGATACCCCTATGGGTATGCTGTACTGCTTTTGTTATGAAAAATATTGTATAAACTACCTTTAGGCTATGTGTATCAGCTGTGTATGAAGTATCAATGGATTTTGTATTTAGACTTGGGTCTCCTCCCAAGCTATCTCATTATATTTCAGAATAAAAAATTCTGTAATCCGAGACATTTCCTGCCCTAAGTACAGCCTCTTCTCACTTAACGACAGAGTTCCGTTCCTAAGATCATGTCAGTAAATGAATTCGTCACTAAGTGAGGAGCATACTATAATGTTAGTGGGTTTGTGTCAACCATCTTTGATATTGTTTTGATGTCACTTTTGCACCATTTATAACATTTCTGGTATTTTTTAAATGTTTATACAGCAGTATACTGTATTGTAATAGAGTAGAGAAAATCAGCTCTAATATTCCTTAGATATGCATACTGGTCAGAGAGCCCGTCATAAATCCAAGTTGTCGGTAAATGAGTACATCGCTAAATGAGGAGAGGCTGTGTTTTGGATATGGGATTTTATTTTTTTTTTAAACAAGTCGGCAGTCTCCCACCGAGGCAGGGTGACCCAAAAAGAAAGAAAATCCCCAAAAAGAAAATACTTTCATCATCATTCAACACTTTCACCTCACTCACACATAATCACTGTTTTTGCAGAGGTGCTCAGAACACAACAGTTTAGAAGCATATACGTATAAAGATACACGACATATCCCTCCAAACTGCTAATATCCTGAACCCCTCCTTTAGAGTGCAGGCATTGTACTTCCCATTTCCAGGACTCAAGTCCGGCTATATAAAAATAACCGGTTTCCCTGAATCATTTCACTAAATATTACCCTGCTCACACTCAAACAGATTGTCAGGTCCCAAATACCATTCTTCTCCATTCACTCCTATCAAACATGCTCATGCACGCCTGATGGAAGTCCAAGCCCCTCGCCCACAAAACCTCTCTTACCCCTTCCTTCCAACCTTTTCGAGGATGACCCCTACCCCGCCTTCCTTCCCCTACAGATTTATACGTTCTCCATGTCATTCTACTTTGATCCATTCTCTCTAAATGACCAAACCACCTCAACAACCCCTCTTCTGCCCTCTGACTAATACATGTACTTTTATTAACTCCACACCTTTTCCTAATTTCCACACTCCGAATTTTCTGCATAATATTTACACCACACATTGCTCTTAGACAGGACATCTCCACTGCCTCCAACCGCCTCCTCGCTGCTGCATTCATAACCCAAGCTTCACACCCATATAAGAGTGTTGGTACTACTATACTTTCATACATTCCCTTCTTTGCCTCCATAAATAACGTTTTTTGACTCCACATATACCTCAACGCACCACTCACCTTTTTTCCCTCATCAATTCTATGATTAACCTCATCCTTCATTAACCTCATCATTAATCCATCCACCGACACGTCAACTCCCAAGTACAGTGGACCCCCGCATAACGATATTAATCCGTTCCTGAGAGCTCATTGTTATGCGAAATTATCGTTATGCGAATGAATTTTCCCCTTAAGAAATAATGGAAGTCAAATTAATCTGTGCAAGACACCCAAAAGTATGAAAAAAAAAATTTTACCACATGAAATATACATTTTCCTACACACAAAGAGAAGGATACATGCACAATAGTAGAGTAGTACATGCACAATATATATTGTGCATGTACTACTCTACTATATGAAGAATAAATGACACTTACCTTTATTGAAGATACAGCAATGACTGATGAGACACTGTTTGTGTCCTGGGAGTGCCTTTTCCTCCTGAGTACTGTAGGTCCTGTTTGGCATTTTCTTCCAGAATAGGCCTTATCACACTATGTATGCCACTACGATTCTTAAATCTCTCAAACCAACCTTTGCTGGCTTTAAATTCACCAATATGAGCACTAGTTCCAGGCATTTTTCCCTGTTCACCTGGGTGTTAGTCGACTGGTGTGGGTTGCATCCTAGGGGACAAGATTAAGGACCCCAATGGAAATAAGTTAGACAGTCTTCGATGACACTGACTTTTTTGGGTTATCCTGGGTGGCTAACCCTCTGGGGTTAATTGTTTCTTGGTATTCTCAATAAGCCACACCAACAACGGTGCTACAGCAGCAACAGCAGCAGCAGCAGCTGACAGTGCTACAGCAGCAGCAGCAGCTGACAGTGCTGCAGCAGCAGCAGCTGACAGTGCTACAGCAGCAGCAGCAGCTGACAGTGCTGCAGCAGCAGCAGCTGACAGTGCTACAGCAGCAGCAGCTGACAGTGCTACAGCAGCAGCAGCAGCTGACAGTGCTACAGCAGCAGCAGCAGCAGCTGACAGTGCTACAGCAGCAGCTGACAGTGCTACAGCAGCAGCAGACGGTGCTACAGCAGCAGCTGACGGTGGTACAGCAGCAGCAGCAGCTGACGGTGGTACAGCAGCAGCAGCAGCTGACGGTGGTACAGCAGCAGCAGCAGCTGACGGTGGTACAGCAGCAGCAGCAGCTGACGGTGGTACAGCAGCAGCAGCAGCTGATGGTGGTACAGCAGCAGCAGCAGCAGCAGCAGCTGACGGTGCTACAGCAGCAGCAGACGGTGCTACAGCAGCAGCAGGCAGTACTACAGCAGCAGCAGCAGCTGACGGTGGTACAGCAGCAGCAGCTGACGGTGCTACAGCAGCAGCAGATGGTACTACAGCAACAGCAGCAGCTGACGGTGCTACAGCAGCAGCAGCAGCAGCAGCTGACAGTGCTACAGCAGCAGCAGCAGCAGCAGCAGCAGCATCAGCAGTTGACCATGGTACCACAGTATTTCGATAATATTTCTCACCCTTTTTACCACAGGGTTGGCACTAGAAGCTTTCTTGGGGCCCATGGTCACTTATTTTGCAGATAAAATCACCAAAAACGCTGTAATAATATGAAATGTTCCGATTGTATGCTTGGATGTTACCGCGGAGGCTGGCTTGTAAACAATGCCACCGGCGGAACATGTGAGGCTGGCTCAGGCCGCACATTAGACGCGTCTCGGACGAATGGCATTGAGCGGGTTTTTTAGCGGTATGCGAGGCAAAATCTTAGCGATAAAATGTATCGGTATGCGGATTTAACGTTATGTGATGCCAACGGTATGCGGGGGGTCCACTGTATCTGAAAACATTCACTTCTTACATACTCCTCCTCCCCAATTTGATATCCAGTTTTTCTTTATCTAAATCATTTGATACTCTCATCACCTTACTCTTTTCTATGTTCACTTTCAACTTTCTACCTTTACACACACTCCCAAACTCATCCACTAACCTTTGCAATTTTTCTTTAGAATCTCCCATAAGCACAGTATCATCAGCAAAAAGCAACTGTGTCAATTCCCATTTTGTATTTAATTCCCCATAATTTAATCCCACCCCTCTCCTGAACACCCTGTTCGACCCATATTCGACCTCTATTATAATTCCATAACTGTACATAGTATACTGGTAATATAATTCTAGAACTGTACTGTCTTTCATGAAACACTAAACCTGTGTGGGTGGGTGATTTTTAGTGCAAGAGTAGTATAAATTTCATACTCTGTTTTCTGATTGTGGCCTGGTTTCTGACCAGTCAGGCTGGTTGTGATGGCTGGAAAAAGTGTTGTGATGCCACATAGTTTTGTGGTGGTGATGTCTACCTGTGTTGTATGTGTGGTGACACGTACAACGTAGGGAGAGTGAAGAGTGTGTTGATGTCAGTGAGGGGCTCTTAATTAGAGGAATTGGAGCTTTCATCCTCTTCCTTGGATCAAACCTGATTTCCCTCCCCTCCCCACCCACCCACCACCACCGTTATATCCTAGGCAGTGTATAATACCTACAGGCTTGGTTCTCCCCAGTAAGTAGTATAATAATAATCTGGCTTACCTGAAGGAATATGTTTTAAATATTATTACCCTTAAATATAAGCAGCACTATATGGCCCTTATAGGTTTATTGCTTATTTATTTTTTTTATTATCACACTGGCCGATTCCCACCAAGGCAGGGTGGCCCGAAAAAGAAAAACTTTCACCATCATTCACTCCATCACTGTCTTGCCAGAAGGGTACTTTACACTACAATTTTTAAACTCCAACCTTAACACCCCTCCTTCAGAGTGCAGGCACTGTACTTCCCATCTCCAGGACTCGAGTCCGGCCTGCCGGTTTCCCTGAACCCCTTCATAAATGTTGCTTTGCTTACACTCCAACAGCACGTCAAGTATTAAAAACCATTTGTCTCCATTCACTCCTATCAAACACGCTCACGCATGCCTGCTGGAAGTCCAAGCCCTTCGCACACAAAACCTCCTTTACCCCCTCCCTCCAACCTTTCCTAGGCCGACCCCTACCCTGCCTTCCTTCCACTACAGACTGATACACTCTTGAAGTCACACTGTTTCGCTCCATTCTCTCTACATGTCCGAACCACCTCAACAACCCTTCCTCAGCCCTCTGGACAACAGTTTTGGTAATCCCGCACCTCCTCCTAACTTCCAAACTACGAATTCTCTGCATTATATTCACACCACACATTGCCCTCAGACATGACATCTCCACTGCCTCCAGCCTTCTCCTCGCTGCAACATTCATCACCCATGCTTCACACCCATATAAGAGCGTTGGTAAAACTATACTCTCATACATTCCCCTCTTTGCCTCCAAGGACAAAGTTCTTTGTCTCTACAGACTCCTAAGTGCACCACTCACCCTTTTCCCCTCATCAATTCTATGATTCACCTCATCTTTCATAGACCCATCCGCTGACACGTCCACTCCCAAATATCTGAATACATTCACCTCCTCCATACTCTCTCCCTCCAATCTGATATCCAATCTTTCATCACCTAATCATATAATTTTATTATATGATTATAATAATAATAATAATAATGCACATTTATAATTGTTTCATTACATTGGCTTAATCTGTATGGTGCAGCTACATTTGAAGGCATTATTATATCTCCAATTTCTGGGTTAATTGTGAATTGTTGCATCCAGTATTTTCTTTTATTTGAGCAAACTGGTCACGTCCCACAAAGGCAGGGTGACCTAAACAGAAAAATTTTAGTATTTATTTTTGAAATTAGTAAAGCCACAGTATTATGACTTTTATTCTTAAAAGAATGATGTATGTTAAATATTGACTTTTTATTGCAGAATTCATTGGAGGTTTTTTTTCTGAAATTCACAAAGCCTCAGATGACAGTGGACTGGGTAGCTCAGCCTCTGAGCTGTATGGACGCACCCTGGCTAAATACCATAACTGGGTACTGGCAAAAACTGCAAGTGCCCTCCTCCTTATGATGCCAAATAAGCAAACTATAGTTGAACGGGTAAGTTCTGTTCATTGCATCAACACAACTGTCTGCTTGTATCTGTTGTAATCCAGTGAGTGTTGTCTCAGGATTTTAGTAAAGTAAGAAATTACTTTGACAGAAAATTGAAACAGGTAAAAGAGATGTGTATATTTCAACCTCATCCAGAGACCCTCTTCAGAAGATCTGACTAAGGCTGAAATGTGCACATTTCTTTCTATCTGTGTCATGTTTCTGTGAAGTGTTTATTTAACTATAGCTTTATCTTACTGTGTAAACTTGAAATGACTACTAGTAATATTTAATTCATTGCCAATGAGAGCTTGTTTTGTTTATTAGCTGTAGGATGAAGGATAACATCAGGAAAACAGTTAATGTAAGACTTTTACTAGGATCTTTGAAACTGTGGTTGGTTGATGGATTAGGCCAGAAATGTTTGTCAGTGTTTGTCACAAATGTAACAATTCAATGGAGCATGTGGGCCTCAAATTGAAAGTAGCATTTGTTAGGAAGGACGATATAGTAATTTCAGGACTGATAGACTCGTTCAAGACCTACCAGGAGGCACTTCTTTGAATGGTTTGCAAAGCTTGTTGGCGACCAGTAGTAACAGCCTGGTTGATCAGACCCTGATCCACCATGAGACCTGGTCCCAGACCGGGCCGTGGGGGTGTTGACCCCTGAAACCCTCTTCAGGTAAACTCCAGGTAAACCTAAATGGTATTGCCATGTGAATAATATATGCCATATCAGTAATTGTAAGGTACTTTTAAATAGGTAGCCATGTGTAAAATTTACTTGACATTAGATGCTTTCGAGTGTTTTAAACCTTTGAAGAGAACTGAGACTTGACAAATTGTGCTAGCTTACTTTGCTGTTATTAAGGCAATCACCCTTTGTTGTGATATGAAACAAAAATTTGCAAAAATTAAGAGGGGTCTCTTTAACAAGTACTGTATATACAAATGAGTAAGTAGAAAAAAAAACTGAATACAACAAATGCTCAGAAATTAAACGGTAGACTAAATAAGGGAAAAATAGTACTTGCTAAAATGACACAGTGGGGACGGAGTAGCATGAGCAGATGACCAAGTCTTTGTTAGTGAAGAAATCTTGGTCAAAGAAATTAAGACTACCCTCCCCTCCCTCAGATCAAACCTGATTGCTTCCTATACCTTAGGTACTATATGGCCTCTTTTGGTTTAGCACTTCCCCATGAATATTTTAAAATAGAGTAAGTGTAGCCAAAGAAAAAGTTGACGGCTGGGTAAGGGGTTCCCATTTGTACTTTGGAGATGAACAACATTTTAATCTTGATGTCAGTATAAAATGGAAGTGGCAGCATGGAAGGCTTCAACCAATATTTTTCTCTGGCTGTTTCATGGGTATGTCATCTTTTACAGAGATATGGACAATCATTCTTGAATATTAATTTCTGCTATTTGAATTTTTCCTTATTTTATCAACAGGTCGAACTTGGAAGTAAGCCGGTAAGTGTTTTGGGTACTTTACAGGCATAAACTGCTCGGAAGAAATAATTTTATCTAGTGTTTTATTGTTTTGATTTTGTGAGATTATTCCAGTATGTGTGAACCTTGATACGAAGACTGAAGGTTTGGCATAACAAGTTAACAAAATATTTTAAGCCTTTAACTTTCAAGAATTGCTTAGCTAATTTTATTGCTTATTGTTTGGTCTTCACAGTTAAGCATTAACAGTATTAGTAATATTTTTTGCACAGAAGCACAAAGTATTTTTAAAGATATGAACACATGAGCTTTTATCTGCACTGCGAGCAGTAAGCATGAGTAGATAGGATTTTTTTTTTAATTTTGCAGTGTTGAGTTTGCTGTGCTTTGAAATGTAGACAGTGAAGGAAATTTAAGTGATAATTGCAGGACTAGACTGTGTATTATATATATTCCATATCTAGTTATTTTCACTTTTCTGCTCCTTTAGTAAATAAACTCGGCTTATTTTAACTGAATATGGGTTCAGCATTTTCTATTAATGTATGGAGAGGCAGGTACACACGAGTTGAAACATGAAGAATGGAAAGGTGACAACACTAGTAATATTTTCAGTAATATTTTCACTGGCTCATAGTAGGCAGAGACGAGACAAGATAATGACATGTCATAAAAGGAGCGGAAAGAATAGAAAAAAATATTACAGTGGAACCTCTACTTGCGAGTTTAATCCGTTCAATGACCTTGCTCGCAACTAGATTTGCTTGTTTGCAGAGTCAGTTTTCTTCATTTAAATTAACTGAAATGCAATTAATCGTTAATATCAACTCTACGGCTTATTTATCTATCTCACTTCATCTAATATGACATAATAAACAATGTAAATAACATAGAAACCTGATATATACTCTAAAATTAATAAAGTGTGTCATTTATGTAGTGGTAAGGGCAGTGTCGGCGATGGACGAGAGTTTGGAGACCTGGCAAAATACTTCGTGAATAATTTCGCTAATATCATCTATATGGCTTATTTATATATCACAGTTCATCTAATATGACATAACAAACAATATCAATAACGTAGAAACATGATATATACTCTAGAATGAATAAAATATGTCATTCATTTAGTGGTATGGGCAGTGTAGGCGGTGGACGAGTTTGTCTGGAGACTTGGCAAAATACTTCATGAATAATCTCGCTACTATCATCTATACGGCTCATTTATATATCACAGTTCATCTAATATGACGTAACAAACAATAAAAATAACATAGAAACATGATATATACTCTAGAATGAATAAAATATGTCATTATGTAACAGGTGGAGGCAGCCACAACCGCTCCCTCTTTGTTGTGGTAAACACTGCCATCTAGTGATGGCCTTTTGAAGCCGTCTTATTATTATAATTATTATACGTAGTACATTATTATTATATATGTTTTTTTTTTTTTTTTTTTTCAACAAGTCGGCCGTCTCCCACCGAGGCAGGGTGACCCAAAAAAGAAAGAAAATCCCCAAAAAGAAAATACTTTCATCATCATTTAACACTTTCACCACACTCGCACATTATCACTGTTTTTGCAGAGGTGCTCAGAATACAACAGTCTAGAAGCATACACATATAAAGATACACAACAACCCCTCCAACTCCCAATATCCCAAACCCCTCCTTTAAAGTGCAGGCATTGTACTTCCCATTTCCAGGACTCAAGTCCGACTATTTGAAATAACCGGGTTTTCCCCTGAATCCCTTCACAAAATATTACCCTGCTCACACTCCAACAAAATCGTCAGGTCCCAAGTCCATTCGTCTCCATTCCTCCTATCTAACACGCTCACGCACGCTTGCTGAAAGTCCAAGCCCCTTACCCACAAAACCTCCTTTACCCCCTCTCTCCAACCCTTTCGAGGACGACCCCTACCCGCCTTCCTTCCCCTATAGATTTATATGCTTTCCAAAGTCATTCTACTTTGATCCATTCTCTCTAAATGACCAAAACCCCCTCAACAAAACCCCCCTTCTGCCCTCTGGATAATACTTTTATTAATCCACACCTTCTCCTAATTTCCACACTCCCAAAATTTTTTTTGCATAATATTTACACCACACATTGCCCTTAAACAGGACATCTCCACTGCCTCTAAACCGTCTCCTCGCTGCTTGCAATTTTCCACCCAAGCTTCACACCCATATAGAGTGTTGGACTACTATACTTTCATACATTCCCTTCTTTGGGCCTCCATAGATAAGTTTTTTGACTCCACATATAACCCCAACGCACCACTCACCTTTTTCCCTCATCAATTCTATGATTAACCTCATCCTTCATAAATCCATCCGCCGACAGTCAACTCCCCAAATATCTGAAAACATTCACTTCTTCCATACTCCTCCTCCCAATTTGATATCCAATTTTTTTTATCAAAATCATTTGACCCCCTCATCCCCTTTTCTCTTTTCTATGTTCATTTTCCCAACTTCCTACCTTTACACACTTTTCCCAAAACTCATCCACTAACCTTTGCAATTTTTCTTTGGGAATCCCCCAAAAGCACGTACATCAGAAAAAAGAAACTGTGCCCAATTTCCCCTTTTTGAATTTGATTCCCCTTTAATTTTTAAATCCCACCCCTCCCCCAAAACACCCTAGCTTTTATTTCCCTTTAAAAACCCCCCCTCAAATAAATATATTAAAAAAACCTTTGGTGACATTACAATCCCTTTGGTCAAAGCCCTACTTTTCCCGGGAAAGTATTCCCCCTCTCTTCTACACCCCAACCTGAGCCTCACTATCCTCAAAAAAAATTCTTTAAGAAATTTAAAATAACTTCCCAAACCTATTCCAATACTTGCAACATCTGCCACATTGCTCCTCTTCCACTCTTTCATATGCCTTTTCAAAACCCCTAAATGCTTTTAAAAAAATTCCCTATCTTACTAAAAACTGTTCACAAAATTGCTTCAATGTAAACACCTGACCCACACATCCCCCTACCCATTTCAAAAACCCTCCTTGCTCTTCCCCCAATTTCCTACATTCTGTCTTCCCTTTTAATTTTTTTTAAATTATAACCCTACCTTTTACCCCTTTTCCCGGGTAACTCAGTAAGCTTATTCCTTTTATAATTTTTCCCCAGTCTCTTTTGCCCCCTTTTTCCTTTTTAAAAAGGGGACTATACATGCTCTCTCCCAACCCCTAGGTACCTTCCCCTTTTTAAACATTTATTAAAAAAAAAGTCCCAACCCACTCCAACACTTATCCCCCCCTGCTTTTAACTTTTTCTGTCATAATCCCATCAGTTCCGTGCTTTACCCCCTTTTCATTTTACGTAATGCCTAGTACCCCCCCCACACTTACATTCTGCTCTTCTTCACTCCAAAAAAGGGGGTATACCCCCCTGACCAGTGCATAAATTTTTCCCTGCCTCTTTTCTTCCTTAACTTTTAAAAAGTTCCCCCAAAATTATTTCGCCCAATTAAACCCAATTCCTCCATTCCCCCCCATTATATATATATAAAAGTTTATAAAAGGTTGGTAGACAAACAACCACCCAGGGGGGGTACTACCGTCCTGCCCGTGAGTGTAAAAAAAGTTTTGCCTGTAAATTTTTTACATGATGGTTGGATTGCTGGTTCTTTTGTCTGTCTATAAAAAAATGCCCAAAATTACAGGGGCCCTTTTTGCCCACTTCTACTTACCCCTTTGGGCCCCACTTTCACATACTTGGGCAAGTTTTTTATACACACTCATCGGGTTTTCTTTTATTTTATTTTTTTAGGGTTTTTGGCTTATTACTTTTCCTTTTATATCCATGGGGAAGTGGAATAAGAATCTTTCCTCCGTAAGCCATGCGTGTTGTAAAAGTCAACTAAAATGCCGGGAACAATGGGCTAAAACCCCCCTTTTCCTGTAAAGATTACTAAAAGAATAAGAAGAAGAAAATTGTCAAGTGGGAAGTCTGAATGTGCGTGGATTTTGTGCAAATGATAAGAAAGAGATAAATGTGGATGTTATGAATGAGAAGAAACTGGATGTCCTGGCTTTAAGTGAAACAAAGCTGAAGGGGGGGGGGAGAGTTCAATGGAGAGGAATAAATGGGATAGGTCGGGGGTTTTTCAAATAGAGTTAGAGCTAAAGGAGGAGTAGCAATAATGTTGAAGGATAAGCTATGGCAGGAAAAGAGGGACTACAAATGTATAAATTCAAGGATTATGTGGAGTAAAATAAAGATTGGATGTAAAAAGTGGGTTTTAGAAAGCGTGTATGCACCTGGAGAAGAGAGAAGTGTAGAGGAGAGAGAGATTCTGGGAAATGTTGAGTGAATGCGTGGGGAGTTTTGAATCAAGTGTGAGAGTAATGGGGGTGGGGATTTCAAGCTAAAGTGGGTAAAAAATGTTATGGAGGGAGTATAGGTAATTTTGGGGTGCCAGGGGTAAATGTAAATGGGGAGCCTTTAATTGAGCTATGTGTAAAAAGAAATTTGGTAATAAGTAATACATATTTTATGAAAAGAGGATAAATAAATATACAAGGTATGATGTACACGTAATGAAAGTATTTTGTTAGATTATGTATTGGTGGATAAAAGGTTGATGGGTAGGCTCCAGGATGTACATGTTTATAGGGGGGCAACTGATATATCGGATCTTTATTTAGTTGTAGCTACAGTTGAGTAAAGGTAGATGGGAAAAGAGGAAGGTGGCAACAACAAGTAAGAGGGAGGTGAAAGTGTATAAACTAAGGGAGGAGGAAGTTAGGGCGAAAATATAAGCGACTATTGGCAGAAAGGTGGGCTAGTGCAAAGATGAGTAGGGGGGGGTTGAAGAGGGTTGGAATAGTTTTAAAAATGCAGTATTGAATGTGGGGCAGAAGTTTGTGGTTATAGGAGGGTGGGGGCAGGAGGAAAGAGGAGTGATTGGTGGAATGATGAAGTAAAGGGTGTGATAAAAGAGAAAAAGGTAGCTTACGAGAGGTTTTTTACAAAGCAGAAGTGTTATAAGAAGAGCAGAGTATATGGAGAGTAAAAGAAAGGTGAAGAGAGTGGTGGGGAGAGTGCAAAAGGGGAGCAGTGAAAGAGTGGGAGAGGCACTGTCAAGAAATTTTAATGAAAATAAGAAAAATTTTGGAGTGGGGTTAAACAAGTTAAGAAAGCCTAGGGAAAGTATGGATTTGTCAGTTAAAAACAGAGTAGGGGAGTTAGTAGATGGGGAGAGGGAGGTATTAGGTAGATGGCGAGAATAAATTTTTTGGAACTTTTAAATGTTGAGGAAGAAAGGGAGGTGGTAATTTCATGCACTGGCCAGGGAGGCATACCTCTTTTAGGAGTGAAGAAGAGCAGATGTAAGTGTGGTGGAGGTACGTGAGGCATTACATAGAATGAAAGGGGGTAAAGCAGCTGGAACTGATGGGATCATGACAGAAATGTTTTAAAAACAGGGGGGATATAGTGTTGGAGTTGTTGGTACTTTTGTTTAATAAATGTATGAAAGAGGGGAAGGTACCTAGGATTGGCGGAGAGCATGTATAGTCCCTTTTATAAAGGGAAAGGGGACAAAAGAGATGTAAAAATTATAGAGGAATAGTTTACTGAGTTATACCAGGAAAAGTATACGGTAGGGGGTTATAATTGAAAGAATTAGAGGTAAGGACAGAATGTAGAATTGCGGACGAACAAGGAGGTTTCAGAGTGGGTAGGGGATGTGTAGATCAAGTGTTTACATTGAAGCATATATGTGAATAGTATTTAGATAAAGGTAGGGAAGTTTTTATTGCATTTATGGATTTAGAAAAGGCATATGATAGAGTGGATAGAGGAGCAATGTGGCAGATGTTGCAAGTATATGGAATAGGTGGTAAGTTACTAAATGCTGTAAAGAGCTTTATGAGGATAGTGAGGCTCAGGTTAGGGTGTGTAGAAAAGAGGGAGAATACTTCCCGGTAAAAGTAGGTCTTAGACAGGGATGTGTAATGTCACCATGGTTGTTTAATATATTTATAGATGGGGTTGTAAAAGAAGTAAATGCTAGGGTGTTCGGGAGAGGGGTGGGATTAAATTATGGGGAATCAAATTCAAAATGGGAATTGACACAGTTACTTTTTGCTGATGAATACTGTGCTTATGGGAGATTCTAAAGAAAAATTGCAAAGGTTAGTGGATGAGTTTGAGAATGTGTGTAAAGGTAGAAAGTTAAAATTGAACATAGAAAAGAGTAAGGTGATGAGGGTATCAAATGATTTAGATAAAGAAAAATTGGATATCAAATTGGGAGGAGGAGTATGGAAAAGAAGTGAATGTTTTCAGATACTTGGGAGTTGACGTGTCGGCGGATGGATTTATGAAGGATGAGGTTAATCATAGAATTGATGAGGGAAAAAAAGGTGAGTGGTGCGTTGAGGTATATGTGGAGTCAAAAAACGTTATCTATGGAGGCAAAGAAGGGAATGTATGAAAGTATAGTAGTACCAACACTCTTATATGGATGTGAAGCTTGGGTGGGTAAATGCAGCAGCGAGGAGACGGTTGGAGGCAGTGGAGATGTCCTGTCTAAGGGCAATGTGTGGTGTAAATATTATGCAGAAAATTCGGAGTGTGGAAATTAGGAGAAGGTGTGGAGTTAATAAAAGCATTAGTCAGAGGGCAGAAGAGGGGTTGTTGAGGTGGTTTGGTCATTTAGAGAGAATGGATCAAAGTAGAATGACATGGAAAGCATATAAATCTATAGGGGTAGGGGTTGTCCTCGAAAGGGTTGGAAAGAGGGGGTAAAGGAGGTTTTGTGGGCAAGCGGCTTGGACTTCCAGCAAGCGTGCATGAGCGTGTTAGATAGGAGTGAATGGAGACGAATGATACTTGGGACCTGACGATCTGTTGGAGTGTGAGCAGGGTAATATTTAGTGAAGGGATTCAGGGAAACCGGTTATTTTCATATAGTCGGACTTGAGTCCTGGAAATGGGAAGTACAATGCCTGCACTTTAAAGGAGGGGTTTGGGATATTGGCAGTTTGGAGGGATATGTTGTGTATCTTTATACGTATATGCTTCTAAACTGTTGTATTCTGAGCACCTCTGCAAAAGCAGTGATAATGTGTGAGTGTGGTGAAAGTGTTGAATGATGGTGAAAGTATTTTCTTTTCGGGGATTTTCTTTCTTTTTTGGGTCACCCAGCCTCGGTGGGAGACGGCCGACTTGTTGGAAAAAAAAAATGTATTATTATTATACATGTTATGTTATTATTATGATTATTATTGTATTATATTATTATACTATTATTATTATACGTATTATTATTATTATTATTATATAAATAATTTGTAATTTTTATTCACAAAAAATATAAGATTTACTGTTATTCCTTATTGCAATAATTGTATAAATATTGTCAGCCCATTCACTACTGCATATTGGAATGGACAGTGACATCATTTGTTTACTCTGAAACTTCCAAGCAATGGACCATTTCTCCTAGGTTGATCTCTATTTCAAGGTACTTTTCTTCATGAAAACAATTAAAATCATATCTATTTCTGTAATGTATCTCCATTCTATCAAATGAGACCAAAAAAACGAGAAAACAACCATAAAAACCATTCAAAATTACCACAAAGGGGTGGCTAATTGATGAGAAGTGAACTCCATTATTTATTCTTAGATTTCTTTCATTTTTAGTGTACGTTAAGAAGCATCTTTCCATCATACATTGCCCAAGTTTCAATAAGATAGTCCAACAAACAAATGAGATACAGTTCCTGAGATCAAGAGCAAGAGTCCCTCACCAGTGTCAAGGAACCTGCCTTGAGGTCTGCTCGCTTGTGGAAATTTTGCTCACGTATGGAAGCAAAAAATCGAACCATCAACTGCTCGTATTTGGAAAAACTCGCACGTGGACACTCGCAAGTAGAGGTTCCACTGTATTTAGCACCATCAACAAAAAGTCTGAGAACAGAGAGTTGTGAATTGATAAAAAGGCCATGACAGATGTACTGTCTATTTGAAAAAAATTTCAGTGGTGAAACAGTAAAATGCTAAATGCTACTGTCTCCCTCTCTGGTAAGACAGAAATAGTGAATGATGGTGAGTGTTTCTTTTTTTGGGGGTCACCCTATCTTAGTGGGTTCCAAAAATTATAACAGGCTGACGAGTGATGCAATTAAAGGGTGTATGGTAGTAACAAAGATTTTTTAAGTTCTTTGGCTTAAATATAATACAGGCAGACCCCACTTATATAGCAGATTAGGTTCCAGGCTGCTGCTGTAAAGTGAAAAATCACTGTAAAGTGAAACAGCTTTTTTACATTTTCAAATGCATATTTAAGACTTAGATCATATTTACACTATCATATACAGTGGACCTTCGGTTTACGATATTATTTCACTCCAGAAGTATGTTCAGGTGCCAGTACTGACCGAATTTGTTCCCATAAGGAATATTGTGAAGTAGATTAGTCCATTTCAGACCCCCAAACATACACGTACAAACGCACTTACATAGATACACTTACATAATTGGTCGCATTGGGAGCTGATCGTAAACCGGGGGTCCACTGTATTAAGTGAGCAATAGAGCTAGACCTAAAAATACATTCAGTACACATTACTTACCTTTAAATATTTTTATCCTTAGCTTATAGTGAGTGGTGAATATACTTATTGTAGAAAGTTTGAATAAATAAAGAATGGGTATAACTGAAATAGCTGTTTTAGCGAAATGCTGTAAAGCGAAGTACTGTAAAGCAGGGCCCACCTGTGCTTAAATTAAATTACAATCCGCTTATGTAAATAATGCCAGGAGTTAATGGGGAGAATTATAGTACCTTAAAATTAAGATAAAGAAAGAATTACTGTGCATCAAACAAAATGTTATAAAGTACAGTATTTTGTAATTTGGTAGGGAAGAGAATTAAAAATATAAATGGATGTGTAGATGCTTCTTGCAATACAGACTGCCAACATAGGTTGGATAGAGGCAATTATCTGTACCTGCAAATATGTTTATTTTAGAATTAATGTCTAAATTGTATATATTGTTTTAATAAATGAGAACCTTTAAACTTAAATTAATCTAAGAGGAAGGTTTTAGATGGGGGATACAATATTTTGCTTTGATATGTTGTAGCCAGGTCAGGACAACAAGCTAGACTAATTTTATTCCTCTAACCTAACAAACCATTAGCATGGGTTAGCATGGAGGGTGTTAGTTTATGTAGTTTATTATTTTTTATGTATGTTGTTATCAGCAGAGGGAGTTGTGTTAGCCGTGTCTGTCCATTCAAACATTGGACAGGCAAGTATATTCTGACAGTAAATGCATTTCGTTTTTTATATCTTGTGTGAATAACACGCAATTTTCTTTCAAAGATTACTGGCGGCAACACCTCAATTCGTGCGCATAATGAAGCCCTCATGCCCAAGGTGATTGAAGCAATGAACTCCGTGTACAACTTGACCCAGAAACTTTACGAAGATTACGGTCTTCTCGATTTGCCTTGAAGTGACACAAATTCAAGAATTGAAATTGTGTTGAAGTGTTTATTTGATACTGAAAATCTCAAGTAATAAAGCGCATAGAAGTAAAATCCTCTTCACTAGATAACTAACTTGGGACTGGAATGTAACATTTCAAACAATAAGAGGTAATTATATTTGTGTAGTGTAAGGGAAGAAATCCTGTAATACTGTATAATCCTTCATTATTGTGATGGCAGGGTATAATGCACACATTCCATGTGGATTCAAAACTACTATTGTAAGAGCAGAGATGTGAATAGATGTGATCTATGCAGTGTGTATGTGTGTGGAGGTAAGGTTTTTCATGTTTTAATGAAATACTGTTGTGATACAGTACAGAGGTGACTAAATCAAGACTGTAATTCTTCATATCAGAGAATTCCAGTAAGCATGTAGCTATAGAATTATGTAAAGCATAGAATTATTTTCTTGAATAGTTTTATATAGAAGAAGAAACATCACAATACAGAGGCTAAAACAATTTACATCTAACACAAACTAGAGGTAAACATTTAGATGTTTAGGTCCAGAAAATATCAAAACCTCATCTGAAGATTTATCTCCAATTTGTGAGTTAGTTGTGGATAGTTCTATATATTCTGCATGAATGTATACTTAAATGTGCCCATCCTTTTAACCATACAATATGTCCAGCAGGGGGTGCATAGCAGGACTGGTTTGGCAGGCCTACACCTGCTAGTAACAGTAGACAGTCTTGGACTACTAATGCTTGTGATTGATCTGAGGTGCCTTTAGTGAGCGTCTCCCACTTTCAAGTTGCAAATGGTCATGTGTCTCAAGGCAGGGTGTCATAGTTGCTGCTAAATTTGCAAGGGCATTCCTGTCAAACACTGAATTGTGGAGGTCGCACTCATTGGAATAGATAATCAAAATTATTAATTATTTTCTTGCTTAATCAAATTTATTTTTATATACAGTGAGAGAATGCAAACACTAGTGTTTGGGATATTACTTGTAGCACCATATTTTGTTAGTACTCTGTTTCATAGGAAAAAACATTGTTAGTGCCTGCAATAAATCAGTAAGATACTCAAATAAAGTGATTTACCAGTAATGTGACTACTGGTGGGACTACTACTGTACTAAGAAAGTGAGCTGATGTAGATTACATTTAACTCTTCATACTAATTTTTATTATTCAAGTGCTAATTTTTGGCAGCTTCAAACATTGTTGAGGATTTAAATGTTCTGCATGTATGTACATACATAAGGGGAGACATGAGTTACTACATTCAGTTACTACTTGGGGGAGCTGATGGAGCCGATAAAGACTGAAATGTATGGACCAAGAGCAAGTTGACATGGAAGCTAAATCACAGTTGAGTCACAGAATGTTAGGGAGCACTTTCTAAGTGTCAGGGTAGCAGTGAAGTGGATTGAACTAAATGTGGAGGTGGGCGAGGCAAACTGAATATTGTGCTGTTAACAGTTTTAAGAGGAGGAGGCGGCATGATTTGGATGAAGAGATGATAAACAACTAATACCTGTCAATGAAGCTTTAGAGGCAGGGACCAGGAGTTAAAACTTGATCTTTACAAACACAGCTTATTTAGTGTACACACACGACACACACACACGACACACACACACACACACGACACACACACACACACACGACACACACACGACACACACACGACACACACACGACACACACACGACACACACACGACACACACACACACACACACACACACACACACACACACACACACACACACACACACACACACACGACACACACACACACACACACACACGACACACACACACACGACACACACACACACACACACACACACACACACACACACACACACACACACACACACACACACACACACACACACACACACTTGCATATACAGCAGGCCTAGTGTCTAATCGACATGTGCCTAGGACAAAATGGTAACTAACTCACATTCACTCTCACACTCTGGCTAGTTAGTACATATACACATGAGTTCATTTTTACAAATAGTCTTTTGAACTTAAAATGTCGACTATAAAACTAGTAATTGACTTATTTTACTCTAGTTTTTATTAAGTTATTAATCAGGAAAAAGACCTAACCTGAAACTTGTCGTGATATCGATGTGGTTCAGAGTTGTAAAATATTTTACAGCTTGATTCAGTATTTCAGGTGTTGCAATTTTTATGTCAGTGATATGTAATTTTAGCATGAAGATTGAACATTGAAAACACTTAAGTCACAAAAATTGTTAACAGATACATTGATAGAATACTGTGTGTGTCAGTACAACAGTCTGTACAGAATCTCATTAAATTTATGAGTCACTCCATCTGGAGAGAAATACAGTATCTGAAGTGTTTACATAAGAGATCTTCATGTTGAAATAATCGTGAAGCATGGTGGTGATAATGTTAATTGTGCTTGTAGATGTAATTGACTACTACCCACCGGATGGATGTGGGAAGTGTAATATGTACTACTGTCAGAGTAACTAGATGTAAAAAAAAAAAAAAAAAACTGGCTTGGAGTTTTATGACTCCCTCGCCATGGGTTCAAACCCCATCCATACTGTGGTTTGTTTGCAGTTGTGTTATTACAATTTTCCAAGTCTTGATTGGATGTAACTAAACATGCGTTACAATAAATTTTAACGCTAATAAATTATAAGGAATGCAGTGCAATGAGCCATTTAGTATGTAGTATTTTAAAATATGAAGATATTAAAAAGCAATACAATATATGTAATTAATATAATGGAATGTGAGGCATTGTAATGGTCTGTGTATTCATAATTCTAATATATATAAAAAAAAATTTCTTTCAGTTAGCGACTGAAGGACAACTGGCACATGCATTCTTAGTGAGCTAATTTTGGACAAATACAGATGTTGGGGAAGTATCCTCATGCATCAGAGTTGATCACACACTGTGAAGCAGAATTATTTTTTCTCTATTCTAAATCTTGTTATAATTTGAAACCCTTAAAGGCGAAGGAGTAGTTGGATACTGGAGGGCTCTTCATCCAGTAAATTGGAACTACAACCCCTCTTCCCCATCCTTCTTTATTTCAAAGTAATTACAGTGGAACCTCAAATATCGAACTTTCTTCGGTCCAGAAGGCTGTTCGAGTGCCACTACCGAACGAATTTATTCCCATCAGGAATAATGTAAATTAGATTAGACCATTTAAGACCCTCCAAAATACACTTATAAAAGCACTTACAAAAATACACTTGCATAATTGGTTGAGTTGGGAGCAGTTCGATTTTTGAGGTTCCACTGTACCTCCCATTTTCCCAGGTGCTGTATGACCGCTGCAGGTTTAGTGCTTCCCCATAATATAATAATAATAATAATAATAATAGGGTCTTTTTTGTAAGAACCTTAAACTGCATATATTATTTTTGCAGTGATAAAACCACCGCCTTTTATGCTTATCTGGATAGGGAGAGAAATTGAAGTATATTTACTTTGCTACATTGTAATATGGGACAAAATACATAATCGTTAACAATTATTATGAAACTGGGTTTTTTGCCACCAATGATATTAAATAGAACAGGAGTGATTAAATTGATAAATGAGATTGGGGTTTAGCCTTTTTTTAGTGAATATGATGAAAGTTTACTGAAGCTTTTTTAAATATAAGTGAAAATACTTAAGTCTTCCATAATTCAGTAATTTATATAATCAGTATTCCTTATATACAGCTGAAAAGAGTTTTAAGTATTTTTAAAGTAAACTTTTGTGTTATTTTGAGTACAGTAATAGTGTTCAATCAAGTGTTGTCATATTATCACTTAATTATACTTTACTTCACTCCTCAAATTTCAAATGCAGCTTATTTTATCATTTAACAGAAAGCAGTGGGGATAAACTATAGTCCACTTTGTTTGGAAAACATTTCATATAAGCAAATAATGATTAAGTGGCTATCCAGATAAAAAAATAATTTTGTAGGAATGTAGGAACTGCTATGACAATATACTGTAACAATACAAATAAAAATTTTTATGTACATTTCTCTGCTTGATAGGATGTATCGTGCAAACCCGATGTGAAATTGCATTTACTGATGTTCATGATGAAAGTCTTATTGAATTAAACTACTTGCTCATTTTGTTATAATTTATTTTACCCATTTCATTGTCCAGTGATTATCTTATGTATTGCTTGGGTAATAGTAAGGACTGACATTGTACAAGGACTGACATTGATAATAAAACATGTAAATCCATTACTCAGGCACTTTGTGACAACCTCTCTCCTCCCCTCCCCTTCCATTTCATGTATTTAGTTTAATATGTTTATTATGCACCCCATACCCATCCTGTGGGCGGTAGTCAAAAGATTACAGAGGTACATAATTGGTCCAGGGACTGGACTCCAAAGTTTTGATAGCTGTGGAAAAAAGTTTTCTGATCAGAGGAATTGGGCATCTTCTTCCCTTCTCCAGATCGAGTCTAAATGCCTCTCCAACCCTTCCTTGTTTTGATCTCAACAGGGGGAACATTTTACCTCTTGTAAAATCTGTCTCCTAAACAGAAGGTAAAGGCCTTGCTCTAGCATAGCTTTGTTGGAAATGCTATGGTGGTAAGGTCATTCCACCCAGTGGAAATTGTATCATGTTAGGCCATGTCAGGTGACCCATTAGTCAGACATCAAGTGGCCATCTATTGGGACCTCTAATGATGGAAGAACTATTGGAGGTTGGCTGTGGATCTGGGAGTGGCAGCTGAAGTTGTATGACTCCTGACAACTTTCCTAGTTTTCCCACTACCATGCTCAGTCAATTATGGAGTGCCTTGCTCAGCCAGTTCTGGAGTGTCATCCCCCCTCAAGGAAGGTTCCTTGATGTTGGTGAGGGGCTCTTGATTTAGGGAATTGGATCTGTGCTCCAGTTTCCCGAATTAAGCCTGAATGCCTTCCACATCCCCCCCCAGGCGCTGTATAATCCTCTGGGTTTAGCGCTTCCCCCTTGATTATAATAATAATAATAATAATAATGGAGTGTCATCCTGGTATTGTGCACCAGGCAAAGTAAGAGTTGCAGCAGAGGTGAGCGTGGTTCAGCGTACATACAATTTTTTTTATATTAATATTTTTATATTTACTTATGATTAAAAAGAAATGTCTGCTCTGTTTGCAGACAGAGAGGGTACCCAACCAACACAGCTAAACTGGTTGATTCCTATGATCTTTCCTCCTCAGTATACATAGCAGGTCAAGGCTGGTCACTGAGGGAACTCAGTGCAACACTACAAAATGCCACAAAAGCTAGCAATATGGCCACATGGCAGTATATTGCACATAACTGGAATAATGTCCAGTCTGTGTAGAAACAGATTATAATGACCCAACTTGTATCTTCATTGCTAAGATGTTTCACCAATAAAAATAATCAGGTGTTGTGGATGTCTATTCAATCATAGTTTTTATTCATTTTTTTCCAGTCAGGGGAGGCTCCCTGAATCTGGCAAAGGGCTCTTGATCCAAGGAAAGAGACCTGACCTCCCATTCCTTGGCTTCAACCTGATTGCCTGTCATTCCCTCAGGTAGTGTGTGACTTCCTACAGGTCTAGGGCCTCCTGCCCATGAGTGTAATAATATATTTGGGTTCCTTCTCCGGTAAAGACTATTTTTACCAACACCCCAGGACTTTATCAGTTTAGTAGATTGATATACTGGATATTATTATTCCCCTCAAGGGAGGTTCCTTGATGTTGGTGAGCCCCTCAAGGGAGGTTCCTTGATGCTGGTGCAGCGCTGTATAGCCCTTGTGGCTTAGCGCTTCTTTTTGATTATAATAATAATCCTTGATGCTGGTGACCCCCAAAGGGAGGTTCCTTGATGCTGGTGAGCCCCTCAAGGAAGGTTCCTTGATGCTGGTGAGGGTCATACAATGGTGCAGGGTAGGACGTGCTAAAGGTGTAACATGCTTGATCAGAGACCAGCAAGGATGAAAAGTATAACAGAGGTAGAGTTAGTAAGGGCAGTGAGGAGTACTAAAGGAAGTATAATCAACGTTGGTGTAATAAATCTATTGTTGACAAGAAGTCAAAGATGGAAGGTCTGACTATAAAAGGTATGGTTTTCATGTCTGTATTAGATTGATAAAGCATCTGGTGGGCGAAACGTCTTTCAGTAAGATATCCAGGTGTTGCATATGGCTTATTCATTAACCTGTGGGCATTACACACCTAAAGATATGCCTTCGAGTATTTTGTATGCCCTGATCATATCTCATCAAGTTATGCTATATGCGTTTACAAATAGCTCTGTAAAAGTCTAAAACATATTTATTCTTCTCAAGATGATTTAGGTGCTTCGAGTACTAGTCCCAACTGTAATCTGTCTGCAGTTGTGACTAAATTTATTTTTAGTACATTATATGGTTCTACTTAGTGTGTGCCACGGTCGATGAGGCCAGAGGAGCGTCCTCATCTAGTATAAGTGAGAAGGTGCGTAGTGATCCTCCCTGTACACCCACACCTCTCTATCTCCCTCCTCCCACGCTCATAGTGTATTTTAATTTATATTTGGGGGGGATTAAAGTATTCCTGCCAGTTGGAATAGATATGATGTGTAGTGTTAATGACCCTCGTGTAGTGGGGGAGACTTTAAATGTGATAAAGGCGATTGAGTGAGTCAGCACATAGTGTCGGATCTTATTATCTTGCTGTTGTGAGTGTGTTCCAACACCCTCACTGATGCTTCTTTGTTTCATAGATCCAACTTCACTTTATGCTGCGGACGGCCATCATGGTTGGGTTCCTCAAGCATATTTGAGCGTAGGAGAAGTTTGAAGGAGCGTGCGTGTAGTGTGAAGAGGGAGAAGAGGCGCGTGAAGCGGCCAGAGTTAGAGATGTGGTCGAACCAGGCGTGGGCGTCAGGGACGGTGCCAGGGGCACCAACCAGCCAGGTGGGTGAGGGCGACCACCGCCATGAACCATCCTCCCTCAACCCACCATTCTTGTTTACTCCTCAGTTTCCTGTACCCCGGGTTACCCAGCTGCTTTTCTAACCTCCTTCGCAGCCGCGGTGTTGGTGATGTCCACAAATAATGTTTTATGGGTGGTTATATAGCTCCAGCGTGACGCATTTGTGTCATAATGTGAGCACTTTTGTTTCAAGACTTTTTTTTTTTGAGACTCCGTTTAATTTGTTTTACATTTCCTGTGTTAGGTGTTTTCTTAAGCCAGTTTTGTTCAGTTACTACATTGTGTGATTTTATAATTAAAGTTCAGAGTTCATAAATGTTCTTTTTGTGTGTCAAATTTCTGGTGAGTGTTAAGAAGAGACGAGTACTTAATAAAGAAGTCTTAAGAGACGAGTACTTAGTAGTCTTAAGAGACGAGTACTTAATAAAGTAGTCTTAAGAGACGAGTACTTAATAAAGTAGTCTTAAGAGAAGAGTACTTAATAAAGTAGTCTTAAGAGACGAGTACTTAATAAAGTAGTCTTAAGAGACGAGTACTTAATAAAGTAGTCTTAAGAGACGAGTACTTAATAAAGAAGTCTTAAGAGACGAGTACTTAATAAAGTAGTCTTAAGAGACGAGTACTTAATAAAGTAGTCTTAAGAGACGAGTACTTAATAAAGTAGTCTTAAGAGACGAGTACTTAATAAAGTAGTCTTAAGAGACGAGTACTTAATAGTCTTAAGAGACGAGTACTTAATAAAGTAGTCTTAAGAGATGAGTACTTAATAAAGTAGTCTTAAGAGAAGAGTACTTAGTAGTCTTAAGAGACGAGTACTTAATAAAGAAGTCTTAAGAGACGAGTACTTAATAAAGTAGTCTTAAGAGACGAGTACTTAATAAAGTAGTCTTAAGAGACGAGTACTTAATAAAGTAGTCTTAAGAGACGAGTACTTAATAAAGTAGTCTTAAGAGATGAGTACTTAATAAAGTAGTCTTAAGAGACGAGTACTTAATAAAGTAGTCTTAAGAGACGAGTACTTAATAAAGTAGTCTTAAGAGACGAGTACTTAATAAAGTAGTCTTAAGAGACGAGTACTTAATAAAGTAGTCTTAAGAGACGAGTACTTAATAAAGTAGTCTTAAGAGACGAGTACTTAATAAAGTAGTCTTAAGAGACGAGTACTTAATAAAGTAGTCTTAAGAGACGAGTACTTAATAAAGTAGTCTTAAGAGACGAGTACTTAATAAAGTAGTCTTAAGAGACGAGTACTTAATAAGTAGTCTTAAGAGACGAGTACTTAATAAAGTAGTCTTAAGAGACGAGTACTTAATAAAGTAGTCTTAAGAGACGAGTACTTAATAAAGTAGTCTTAAGAGACGAGTACTTAATAAAGTAGTCTTAAGAGACGAGTACTTAATAAAGTAGTCTTAAGAGACGAGTACTTAGTAGTCTTAAGAGACGAGTACTTAGTAGTCTTAAGAGACGAGTACTTAGTAGTCTTAAGAGACGAGTACTTAGTAGTCTTAAGAGACGAGTACTTAGTAGTCTTAAGAGACGAGTACTTAGTAGTCTTAGAGACGAATGATAAGACGAGTACTTAGTAGTCTTAAGAGACGAGTACTTAGTAGTCTTAAGAGACGAGTACTTAATAAAAGTAAATCTTAAGAGACGAGTACTTAATAAAAGTCTCAAAAAGAGACGAGTACTTAATGAAAGTAGTCTTAAGAAGAGACCAGTACTTAATAAAAAGTAGTCTTGAGACGACAAGTACTCAAAAAAAAAAAAAAAAAGGCACAAAAGAAAGAAGTCTTCATATTATCAGCTTGGAGTATTAGTAACCCAGGATAACCCATGAAAGCCAAACACTTTGGCTTCTTATTGTTACTATTATATCATGTAGATAAATGGTTCAGAGTACTGATAAGATCCTAAGGTACCTTGTTTCTGGTGAAGGATTCTTGCTTCAAGGAATTAAGAGCTTCTGCTCTTCCTTGGATCAACTCTTGATTGCTTCCCACTCCCCAGGCTTTGTATGACCCCTATGAGTTCAGCACATTCCCTATGTATGTAACAGTAATCTTTCCCAGGATTACCCACTTGGAGTGTATCAATATTGGTATTTGTGTATCAGCTAATTTTGATGGCATTTATTTTGGCCTAAAATTGAGCATTGGTATTATAAAAAAAAAAAATTGGTATTATTCCAACCCTACCTGCCCTCAAGGAAGGTCCCTTGATACTGGTGAGGGGCTCTTGATCTAGGGACCTGGGTCTGTGCTCCAGGGACCTGAATTAACCCTGAATACCTTCCATCCTTCCCCCTCACAGGTGCTGTATAGTCCTACGGGTTTAGCGCTTCTCCCTTGATTATAATAATAAATAATAATCCAACCCTACCCACAACAGTCGCCAAACACACTGGTACCTACTTATTGCTGAGTGAATAGAGGTAACAGGTACAAGTTGGAAAAAATTTAGATTTAGAAAGGATATAGTGAGTTGGACTTGCCTGGTATGGGCCAGTAGGCCTGCTGTGGTGCTGCTTTCATGTTTCTGCTCATCCTGGGATCAATCCTGGGTCATTCGGTTGCATGCAGGTGATGCCACAAACCACAGTGTAAGGAAGGTAAACAAACCATACCACAGCCAATCGTGTCATGATTTCGTGAGTCTCGGTGTAAGGAAGGTCATTTAGATACAGGTATACATAAGTACAATTATCATACCTAATAGCAAGTGTAATATACTTAGGATAACCCAAAAAAAAGTCAGCGACTTATGTCTGTGGTGGCCTAATGTAATACTGTCACTGTAAATGATGTATCTTTAATTCTAGTATCAGTGAAATATAGAATTGTGTATAGAGGCATTGTATTGTTACATTGTTGCAGGAGTCTTTGAGTGTTCTAGAGCAGCAAGCACAGCAGTATTCAGCAGCATACCAGCAACAACATGCGGAACAGTGGCAACAGAGCACTGCTGCTGCTGCTGCTGCTGCTGCCAACCCATGGATATGGGGTCAAACAGGGGTAAGTATATACCTTTCAGTAATTGTTGATAGCCTAGGTTATAATAAAATGCTCCTTTGTAGGCTGTATCATGGCTATTTCAACATCATAATTGTTAAAAATTATTGATATGTATGCTAATAAGAAGGTTAATGGCTTCCCACAACAAAGAAGAAGCACTAACTGGCACTAGTGTCATGTTTTGGACAAATTTAGTCACCAGCAGACTTTATAGTAAGTACATTCTGGTCTAATGTGAATGAAGGTGGCTCAAGGCCCAGAGGGAGTGTCTTCAGCTCTTGACTGAAGGAGCCAGGTTCAGGCCTGAATTGAGTGGAGACTAGCACGTTTCCATAAACTGTTTCCTTTGTTCATGTAACAGTAAATAGGTATCTGGATACTAATGAACTCATGGGTTTCATCCTGGGAAAGAAAACCAGGGGACCTTAATAGATATAAGCCATCAGGTGGCTTCCTTGGGTTATCTGGGGTTACTAACCTTCTGGACTAGAATCCCGGTAAAAATTTTCTTTGTCTAAAGTTTTTCATACATAATTTCTTCGTGTGTCATTTAATGTTAAGAAGTATGGAATTGGATATAAAGTGCTATGTGAAACGGTTTAATTTCATGATGTTCATTTAATTTTTATTATTTTTGTACATAAATGAAATACTGTACTGTACAAGGTTTTCCCCCTTCAAGAAGAATGGGGTAACCTTAGTGCCAGTGAAGGGTTCTTGATTCAATGAATTGAAGCAGCTTTAGCTTAAACCTGATTACCCTGAACAAACATGATTATTCTATGTTTTTAGCACTTCCCTGTAAAAATAGTGATAATAATAATAATAATGCAAAACGATCTTGTTTATATACTAAACTGCATGATTACTCAGAGAATGTGAACTGGGTTTTAGGACACCTCTACAGTAAAAGGTTTGTGACTCCCAGTAGAAATTAACATTTTCAATAAATGGCTTAAAAGAAAAATTCAAATCAAATCAAAGCAGAACAACAATTTCTAATTTCGAAGTTGAGAATTTTTTGTTTGTTTGTTTATTTACAGGTTTATGGCATGTATGGCTTGTATGGCAACACATCAGGAGTGGTGCCAATGATGTCTGTACCTCCCCCCACCCTTGATAACTCCCACCAAGATACAAGTATTCCACCACCAAACTTACCTTCCAATAGTTCTGCCAGTGCTGGTGGTCCACAATCTGGCGGAACATCTACCACCCCTTCAAGTGCTGCAAATGCCAGTAGTTCTACATCTGGTGGAGCCTCCAGTAATGTGGCTCCCCCAAATGTCTCCCCCCCTAAAGACCCCCCACCACCAGATGAACCACCACCACCCCCACCACCTGAGGAAGAGGAGAAGCCAGAAAAGTCTCAGGGTGGTCCTTTAAAAACAGGAGGGGAAGGTTTACTGGGAGCACATCCTGACTCACTTAAGGATTCTGCTGATTCCAAAGGAAAACCACAGGACTCGTCTCAAGACAAATCATCTGTGGGACAGATTCCTGGGTCCCTGAATGAGTCCCCTGGAATGAAAGGACAGGAAAATGACAGAGGTGGCATGGCACGAGGTGGAGGAAGTGGGGGAGGATGGAGTGGCCATGGGGCACCAAATAGACAGAATTATGATTCGAACCAACCAATGAATCGTGAAGGAGACTGGGGTAATAATCCCTGGGGCAAAGGTTCGAGTCAGTATGGGAATAACCAAGGTTCTCAAAATTGGACCCCTGGAAGTGGTCAAGGTAGAAGTGGGGCCCCAAGTGAGAGTAATCAGCCGTGGGGAGACTACTCTGAGCGTGGCAACCGGACAGATTCTTCATGGGATTCTTACAATCGGGGACAAAATTCTAAAAACCAGGGCGGTGGTAGCAGTTATATGGGGGATCATGCTGGAGCTCAAGACAGGGGAGGATATCACCCTGGCCCAGACCGTATGTATTTTATTGTGATTATTGTTCTACGTATTTTTAATATAAAATAAGTGTTCAGTGTTAAGGACTTGATAAATGCATGCATTTTACATAATACTATATAATGAAAAAATCTGAAATTTAGAAATGTGGCAAAGTGGTGTTCTCTCAAGCTTTGATGCCAGAGGGGGAGCTCTTGATCCAAGGAATTGGAATTATCCTCTCTTGGGATTAAACCTGACTCACAAATAACCTGCACACAGGTGAATGACATCTGTCTGACTTGAACTATTAATTAGACAGTTTGTCTATTATGTGCGGGTTATTTTGGTACTGCTCTTTATTGAACCTACTTACCTCCCATTCCCTGAACTTTTAGATGATAAGGTCAACCTACCCCATCCTCTTGTGAATGTAATCACAGTAGTTAAATGGTGTTAAATTTAAACATGTTTTCCTGATTATAGTTTTATAGTGGAAGGGTAACATTTTAGTAAAAAGCCTTATTTTAAACACTCTCTCTTCCCCGGTAAGTGATATAGGTCAAATGTGCAGAACACTGTAAATCTGCAGACATTAAAGCAACATGTTTGCTTTGCTTTTGCAGTAACCAATCAGATTTATCAAAGAATTAATTTACATAATGTTGAAATTACAGGTCCGCCATCACAAATCCTTCAGTCAGTTATTCGGTTTTAATTTCGGCTAGCATAATTTAAAATTTCCAGGGTCGCCACACCAACCTACTGGTACTGTTTGGTGGTGCTACTTGCTGCATAAGTCATTCTAATTTCTTTTTTTCCATTTATTGTTATAACCTGCTTACTTTTAGCCCTAGCCCTGGTTCCAGTGAATAAAAGAAATGCTTTTCGTTGTGTAAAGCACCTACACAGTACAGTGTCCATTAAAGATAAGGTGGCTTTGAAGCCACTGTCAGTTGCCATGAGCTCAGTCTCGTGATGTAGGAGAATATGCTTTATTATTATGCTAATATCAACACTACAGCATATTGCCTATCACAATTGATCTAATATGACATAATAAACAATATAAATAACATAAAACATGTTAAATACTCCAGAATGAATAGTATTTGGCATAATACCAAGCAGTTCGACAGAGGTATGAAGAGGTTACGAGATACAAGTACCATTCTCCTATCCCTGTCTTGGGGGCTTATATTAGAGAAAACGGAATGTAGCACAGGGCTAACTGATATACACTCGTACTGCACCATAAACCTGAAACAAAAAAAGCTATTTTCTCTATATAGATTACCACACAGAGCAGCATATGTGTAGAGAACCTAGGATAACCCAAAAATGTCAAACAACGTGGCTTGTTTCTAGTACCTGGCTTGGGTTAGCCATATATGATTTTTGGTAAATATTCGATTCCCAGCCAGGGTAGAAACATTGGGCGTGTTTCTTTACACCTGTTGTCTATGTTCGCCCATCAGTAAATGGGTACCTGGGTGTTAGTCGACTGGTGTGGGTGTTATCCTGGGACCCTGACCTAATTTGCTTGAAATACTCTTCATAACAAGTGGCTTTCTATGTAGTAGTATGTCACTGATGTCTGCTATGTCTATCCCATATACATGTACATGTAGTAAATTATTATTATTATTGTTGTTGTTATTTTCTCATTTGTTTGTTGGGTTATCTTATTGAAACTTGGGCAATGTATGATGGAAAGATACTTCTTAATGTACACTAAAAATGAAAGAAACCAGACCATAAATAGCGGAGTTCACTTCTCAGCCATTAGCGGCCGCTTAGCGGTATATTTTTATATGTTTTTTTTGGTTATATTCTCGTTTTCTCGGTCTCATTTGATAGAATGGAAGATATATTACAGAAATAGATATGATTTTGATTGCTTTCATGATGAAAAGTACCTTGAAATTGCACTCACAGTAGCAGAAAAGTTATATTCTTTAGTGATTCTCGAGTAAGCAAATGACATCACCGTCCAATACCTGTCCACCTGCCAGTCCAAATTTCAATACGCAGTCAAGAATGGGTTGACATTATTGATACAATTATTACAATAATGCAGTTGTCTGCATAACAGTAAATCTTCTATTTTTTTTGCGTGAATAAAAATTCCAAATGGTAAGGAAGAGTAATATAAGAGGGGGCCTGTAGCCATGACTAATGAACAGAGAAAATGTTATTTTAGTACCAGGAATGTCTGCATTGTCTATTCTGGACCCTATTTTGAAATTGGCATCTGTGAAATTGGCCAAATTGCCAATTTCTGACCACTTTATTGGGTAGTTGAAATAGGTGAATGGGTGGTTTCTTGTACTCAGTCGACAGACTAGAAGTAAGTTTATTCAGGTACTATACACAAATACAGTTACATAGATTGTCATACATATCAGCGTATGTATAGAGAACCTAGGATAACCCAAAAAAGTCAGACAAAGTGACTTATTTCCAGTACCTGGCTTGGGTTTGCCATGATTTTTGGTAAATATCGTTTTTTTTCTCAGTTGTTTGTTGGGCTTTCTCATTGAAACTTGGGCAATGTATGATGGAAATATGCTTCTTAACGTACACCAAAAATAAAAAAGACGGACGATAAATAAGGGAGCTCACTTCTCAGCCATTAGCCGCCTCTTTGTGGTATATTTTCATATGTTTTTTTTTATGGTTGTATTCTCGTTTCTTTGGTCTCATTTGATAGAATGGAAGATATATTACAGAAATAGATGTGATTTTAATTGCTTTCATGATGAAAGTACCTTGAAATTGAGCTCAAAGTAGCGGAAATGTTCGATTTTTGCCGATGTTCAATGAACTTTGTGTAAGTCAAGTTGGTTAATTTTAATAAGTGTATTCTAACCTAACCACTCTGTAATCCGGCAAACTAGGTAATCTGGCACACTACAGGTCCCGTTGATGCTGGATTTGTGATGGAGGACCTGTATTAGCCTGTTGAATTAGACCAATGTGTGACTACAAGTTTGCCAAGCTAAAACAGTAAAAAATTAACCAAACCACAGAACAAGTGGGGTTTGAACCCAGGGCAGACAAGTCGTAAAACTCCAGGCCAGTGTGTGAACCACTAGGCCAGCTGTCTACAATAAGATTCAGCCAGCATACCTAGTTGGATGAATCTTACTGCAGTCAGTTGGCCGAATGGCTTACGCACTGGACTGGAGTTATACGACTTGCTTGCTGTGGGTTCAAACCCCACCCGTTCCCTGGTTTGTTTGCAATTGTGTTATTACAAGTAAAAAATAATGAAATTGTAAGACTTGAGTGCCTATGTGTTCATATCTTTAAGTCTTTTCACTGTTAGCCTTTAAGGGGTAGATGTGCTGTCATCCTGGTGAAGGGCCATTGATCTAAAGAATTGGAGGTATCTTCCCATCCTTGGATGAAATTTGATTACCTCCCATTCTTAAGGACTTGTGTGACCCCTGTGCTCCCCATGAATATTATAGTTTTCCAGTCACATGCTTTCTAATACACTAAACTTTTTTTGTCTTTTTTTTTTGTTATAGAGGGACAAGGAAATTCCTTTGGACAGCAGTCAACACACAGGAACTTTGATGCCGAATCCAAGTTTGATGAAAAGGTGAGCTGTTTTTGAGCATACTGTAACTTTCTATTTTTAATTTGTGAGGGATGAGCTCAAGCTCCTGGTCTCATCTTTTAAAATTTGATACTGAACTTTTGGTCCCACCTTTTAGTAATTGACAGAATTATGTGAGTAAGCACTGTTATAGATTTTCTAACTTCGTATGGAGTCTGCTTCCTCCTAGTTCGGTTCATTCCGTCTTAAATGTACGCATCAGCCGTATGTTTAAGATGGCTTTTTGATATCCCTGTGACTCATTTGGATACTTAATTTCCAACCATGACTTAGTGTTATATTCATGGTAAATAGGCTGTCTACTGTTTCAGAGTGTTTTGTACATTGTGTTCATATTCCTGTTTTTCCATTCATCTGGTGGCAGAAGGTCTTGCATAGGTATCTTTATCATGTTACCTTCAATTTGGACACCAATCTGCATATACAACAATTAGAACAGGAAGTGCATCTAGCACAAGATATTTCTAAATGTGTCAACAAAGGCTTAAAGAAGGAGAGGAAAAGGTCTGGAAGAACTTAAATCTAAGATTAAAGATAAGTTTTTTAAAATTTACTAGAGAAAAGACAGACAGAAGAACAGGTAATGTTAGCTAAGACAAAAATTCACTGAACCAGTATTGGTCAAGAAACTAAGGAGATTGCAAATGGTTTAAACTTTTAAGGGTCGCTGTTGGCAGAGATAAAGCCATTTTTGTTTTTTCGCTGTATTGAAAAGGAAATAAAATCATGAATAGAAAGAATCAGAGGAAGAACAACACACAAATGAGAGAAACAAAATACATTGTGGATTTCGGCTTTCAGTAGCCTATGCTTGTCTTATATTTTCCAGTATGACTGTGTGCCACAATAACAGGCTTATTCCTTTATATAAACTGCTTATGAACATACACATTTCACAGTTAGATATTATTGTCTTTTACGGGTTATCCAAAGATTACTCTTCGTTTTTAATTAAAGAATTTCTAAATATTTTTTGTCATTTTAGAATGATGCTGAATTGAAGGAGTTTGACAGGCAGTTTGTCAATTGGGAGAAACAGTTTAAACAGTGGCAAGAAGAGAACAAGACTCACCCTGACAAAAGTGCCCTCAGGAAGTAAGTACAGGATAAATATTTCCTTCTTTGTGTAATTTTAAAAATAGGTTAGATAAATACATGAGTGGGTGCGGGTGGGTGTGAGTTGGACCTGACTAGCTCGTGCTACTAGGTCAGATGCCTTGCTCCTTCCTTAACCCTTAAACTGTCCAAACAAATTTACGTTCACGTTCGTAGTGCTCCAAAAGTAGATCTACGTATTTTTACATATTTTCAAATATAACAAAAAAAAAAAAGATCAAAGTTTTTTTACACATTTTCAAATGTAAAAAAAGAAAAGATTACTTTTTTTACATACTTTCAAATGTTGAAAAAACGTAGATCTACGTTTGGACAGTTTAAGGGTTAAGTGAATGTGACCTGACCTAACTAGGTTAGGGCATTGGCTTAAGCAGGTAGGAGACTTGGACCTGCCTCATATGGGCCAGTAGGCCTGCTGCAGTGTTCCTTCTTTCTTATGTTCTATCCTTTCCCCCCCTCCTTTTTTTTGTTCCCCATTTCCTGCATTTGTTTCCAATTACATACATTTTTGTTCCCCAATCCCTTTCCCTCAAGGCTTGTTCCACGATGCTGGTGAGGGGCTCTTAATCCAAGGAATTGGACCTGCCCTCCCCTTCCTTGGATTGAAGCTAAATGCCTCTCATTCTCCCAGGTGCTATATGACCCTAGCTGGTTTAGCGCTTTCCCACGAATATAATAGTAATCCCCGTTTCCTATGTTTTTCTTCCCTGTTTCCTCCATTCTTGATGAAGATAGGGAGATGTACTGAGAGTGGTTACAAATTGCGAGTAAAAAAAGTTGAAGACGGATCAGAAATTGGCAGATTAAAACCTGTGTTGGAAGAAATAGTAGACAAATAGTGGACTTTCTTTAACATTCAAGGTAATTTTATAATCCAAGACTAGTGTTGTATTCAGGCTGTGCAGTTGTAACTTTAGTTATCAATAAGGTAGAATATTGTCTTGATTTCATTTGTGCTAAAATATTTAAATATTGGTGCAATATTCTGTAGGTTACATTTCTATGTACATGTATATATAATATAAAGTGTTTGCATATTTCCTTTCTAAAGATATGAAGAAGATTGGTCTAGATGGCGAAATGAACTGTTGGCAAAGAGAGATGACATTCGTAAGACAAAACTAGAGCAATTCACTCAAGGACAGATGGAAACAAAAACTGGTGTAGATGGTCCAAGTAGTGCCAACAACAGTACATCTGCTGCTGGCACCACACCTGCAGCACCCATCACTGCTACAGGTCAACCTCCTGGACTAGATCCAAAAAAACCTATGGGACCAAATGACTGGAAAGATTTGAATCAGAGAGAGCCAGGAGAATGGCAAAGAAAGCCTCATGGTGAACAAGACAGAGATTGGCAAGGCAGCAATTGGCCGTGGTCTCAGGTAGGTTTTTTAAGTCTTTTTGTTGTGTTCATTTCTTAAGGTTTATGACCTCATTAGATTTGGCATTATTTTCCAGCTATCTTTTCAGAAGTGTGGACTCAATTTGTTTCAATGTTTACACCAAACCACAATTCTTCTACACCATTTTCGGAGTACAGGCATTACTTTAGAGTTCTTTGGCAAGCTGGATTCCCTAAATCTTGTATGTACATAGAAATTTTTGCTCACTCCAGCAGCATGTGAAGTCTCGTAAATCACTTTCCTCCTCCAATCTTAACTAGCTCACATATTTTGCTAAATATCAAAATGCCTACACTCCATCACCACTTTCACATACAATCTAGATCTAACTTTATAAACCTCTTTGTATGCCCCTCTGTAACACTTAGATTTTCATGATTAAACTATTTCAACCCCCTTCTGTTTTTCTGAATTAGGTTTTTTTTTTTTTTTCTACATAATATTCACACTGCATATTCTTAGAAAAGACATTTCATTGTTTCATCCTCCTTGCTGCAAGGTTCCTTTTCGTATGCCATGTAAATGTCTGGAAGTTTGTGATGCAAACATAGGTTTTTTTTTTTTTTTTTTTTTTTTTTTTTTTTTTTTTTTTCCAACAAGTCGGCCGTCTCCCACCGAGGCAGGGTGACCCAAAAAAAAAGAAAGAAAATCCCCAAAAAGAAAATACTTTCATCATCATTCAACACTTTCACCACACTCACACATTATCACTGCTTTTGCAGAGGTGCTCAGAATACAACAGTTTAGAAGCATATATGTATAGAGATACACAACATATCCCTCCAAACTGCCAATATCCCAAACCCCTCCTTTAAAGTGCAGGCATTGTACTTCCCATTTCCAGGACTCAAGTCCGACTATATGAAAATAACCGGTTTCCCTGAATCCCTTCACTAAATATTACCCTGCTCACACTCCAACAGATCGTCAGGTCCCAAGTATCATTCGTCTCCATTCACTCCTATCTAACACGCTCACGCACGCTTGCTGGAAGTCCAAGCCCCTCACCCACAAAACCTCCTTTACCCCCTCTTTCCAACCCTTTCGAGGACGACCCCTACCCCTCTTTCCTTCCCCTATAGATTTATATGCTTTCCATGTCATTCTACTTTGATCCATTCTCTCTAAATGACCAAACCACCTCAACAACCCCTCTTCTGCCCTCTGACTAATGCTTTTATTAACTCCACACCTTCTCCTAATTTCCACACTCCGAATTTTCTGCATAATATTTACACCACACATTGCCCTTAGACAGGACATCTCCACTGCCTCCAACCGTCTCCTCGCTGCTGCATTTACCACCCAAGCTTCACATCCATATAAGAGTGTTGGTACTACTATACTTTCATACATTCCCTTCTTTGCCTCCATAGATAACGTTTTTTGACTCCACATATACCTCAACGCACCACTCACTTTTTTTTTCCCTCATCAATTCTATGATTAACCTCATCCTTCATAAATCCATCCGCCGACACGTCAACTCCCAAGTATCTGAAAACATTCACTTCTTCCATACTCCTCCTCCCCAATTTGATATCCAATTTTTCTTTATCTAAATCATTTGATACCCGCATCACCTTACTCTTTTCTATGTTCACTTTCAACTTTCTACCTTTACACACATTCTCAAACTCATCCACTAACCTTTGTAATTTTTCTTTAGAATCTCCCATAAGCACAGTATCATCAGCAAAAAGTAACTGTGTCAATTCCCATTCTGAATTTGATTCCCCATAATTTAATCCCACCCCTCTCCCGAACACCCTAGCATTTACTTCCTTTACAACCCCATCTATAAATATATTAAACAACCATGGTGACATTACACATCCCTGTCTAAGACCTATTTTTACCGGGAAGTATTCTCCCTCTCTTCTACACACCCTAACCTGAGCCTCACTATCCTCATAAAAGCTCTTTACAGCATTTAGTAACTTACCACCTATTCCATATACTTGCAACATCTGCCACATTGCTCCTCTATCCACTCTATCATATGCCTTTTCTAAATCCATAAATGCAATAAAAACTTCCCTACCTTTATCTAAATACTGTTCACATATATGTTTCAATGTAAACACTTGATCTACACATCCCCTACCCACTCTGAAGCCTCCTTGCTCGTCCGCAATTCTACATTCTGTCTTACCTCTAATTCTTTCAATTATAACCCTACCGTATACTTTTCCTGGTATACTCAGTAAACTTATTCCTCTATAATTTTTACAATCTCTTTTGTCCCCTTTCCCTTTATATAAAGGGACTATACATGCTCTCCGCCAATCCCTAGGTACCTTCCCCTCTTTCATACATTTATTAAACAAAAGTACCAACCACTCCAACACTATATCCCCCCCTGCTTTTAACATTTCTGTCATGATCCCATCAGTTCCAGCTGCTTTACCCCCTTTCATTCTACGTAATGCCTCACGTACCTCCACCACACTTACATTCTGCTCTTCTTCACTCCTAAAAGATGGTATACCTCCCTGGCCAGTGCATGAAATTACCGCCTCCCTTTCATGAAGGTATGAATAAAAAAAGCAAAATGTTTTCAAATGTGTGGATTAAGTACAATCTTTATAATATTTTTAGCTTAGAATAATAATAGTCCTCAGCATGGTTTTCCAGGTGTTTACAACAGAGGTACAGTTGTAGTTTAGGACACAGCTGTAGCACTCGCCTTAAGAATTTCCTTGATGCTGTAATTTGAAAAAAAAAAAATTGGTGACCAGGTAGCCTTTTTTCACCCGTTATGATGTACTCTTAGCTCGTATGGTAGCACAGTATATGACAACTATGTACAAATTACACGAAGCACACCTGTGTGCTATTAAATTCATAATAACACTTAATCAGATTTGTAAATTAGCACTAGCAATACAAAATTTGATGAGAATTAGTTACAGAAGTGCTGGGGAATTAGTAGAAATAAATTATTGGGACCTAGGTAGTAGGTTGGTAGACAGCAACCGCCCAGGGAGATACTACCGTCCTGCCAAGTGAGTGTAAAACGAAAGCCTGTAATTGTTTTACATGAAGGTAGGATTGCTGGTGTTCTTTTTTCTGTCTCATAAACATGCAAGATTTCAGGTACGTCTTGCTACTTCTACTTACACTTAGGTCACGCTACACATACATGTACAAGCATATATATACACACATCCCTCTGGGTTTTCTGCTATTTTCTTTCTAGTTCTTGCTCTTCTTTATTTCCTCTTTTCTCCATGGGGAAGTGGAAGAGAATTCTTCCTCTGTAAGCCGTGCGTGTTGTAAGAGGCGACTAAAATGCCGGGAGTAGGGGGGCTAGTAACCCCTTCTCCTGTATAAATTACTAAATTTAAAAAGAGAAACTTTTGTTTTTCTTTTTGGGCCACCCTACCTTGGTGGGATATGGCTGGTTTGTTGAAAGAAAAGAAGAAGAAATTTTGGGAATCACATACAAAATGGGAGTTGACGCAGTTACTTTTTGCTTGATGACGGAAAAAAGGTGAATGGTGCATTGAGGTATCTGTGGAGACAAAAACGTTATCCATGGAGGCAAAGAGGGGTATGTACGAAAGTATAGTGGTACCAACACACTTATAATGGTGTGAAGCATGGGTTGTAAATGCTGCAGCGAGGAGGTGGCTGGAGGCAGTGGAGATGTCATGTCTAAGGGCAATGTGTGGTGTGAATATTATGCAGAGAATTTGGAGTGTGGAAATTAGGATGATGTGTGGAGTTACTAAAAGTATTAGTCAGAGGGCTGAAGAGGGGTTCTTGAGGGGTTTGGTCATTTAGAAAGAATGGAACAGAGTAGAATGACTTGGAGAGCATATAAATCTGTAGGGAAAGGAAGGCGGGGTAGGGGTCGTCCTTGAAAAGGTCTGAGGGGGTAAAAGAGGTTTTGTGGGCGAGGGGCTTGGACTTCCAGCAAGCATGCGCGCGCTTGTTAGATAGGACTGAATGGAGACAAATGGTTTTTGGGACCTGACAATCTGTTGGAGTGTGAGTAGGGTAATATTTTGTGAAGGGATTCAGGGAAACTGGTTAGCCAGACTTGAGTCCTGGAAATGGGAAGTGCAATACCTGCACTTGAAAGGAAGGGTTTGAGATATTGGAAGTTTGGAGGGACTTCTAAACTGTCATATCCAAGTGCCTCTGCAAAGACAGTGATTATGTACGAGTGATGTTGAAAGTGTTGAATGACGATGAAAGCATTTTTGTTTCTTTTTGGGTCACCCTGCCTCGGTGGGAGATGCCCGATGTGTTAAAAAAAAAAAAAAATATTATTAATGAATCTGAGATTTGGGAGTTCAGTTACCAGTTCAGAATAAAGTTTTTGAGTTTGCAGGTGGTGTGGATTATGTATTGATGTAGTGCTGAATGGTCTTACAGGTTTAGCATTTTCGAGAACACTAACAAAGATAATAATTAACTTGGTCCTGCTGTTGAGTTAAACAAGGTAATATCTATGGTTGTTCTAGGGAAAGTGTGTTGGCCAAACTTATGTTTAGGAAGTATAATGCTTGCATTCTGAAAGTTGGGAGGGAAAGTTGCAGTTTGATTAGCAAATTTTAGACCTTTTCTGTTTCCTTCTAGATAGGCAGCTAGATAGTGAGAGATGGGTAATATTTTTTTTACTGACTTAGCCTATTTTGTTACAAGATTCCTGACACTTTTAAGCAAATAACGGTACTAGCTTATTTTTATCATTGTATTTTTGTTTATTTAAAATTCTTAAATTTTAATGTTTCTTACAGGATCGAGGTGGCAGCGGTGGCGGTGGCCGACCAGACAATGGACAGAATATTGGTAACTTTGAAAATATGCCAGATCAGCGAAGATTTGATCAGACCAGAGGACAAGGATTGAATCCAGGAAATGATCGAGGTGGTTTTGGGAATGAATTGGGCCGTGGAGGATTTGGTATGGACTCAGGTCGAGGCGGACTTAGCCAAGAAGCAAATCGAGGAGGATTTGGACAAGGACAGAATAGAGGAGGATTTGGTCAAGAACAGAATAGAGGAGGATTTGGACAAGAGCAAGGACGAGGAAGATTTGGGCAGGATCCAGGTCGAGGAGGTTTCGATCATGGGCAGGGCCTTGGTGGATTAGGTCAAGACAGAGGATTTGGAAACCAGGGATTGGGTCAAGACAGTTTTGGCCAGGGCCCTGACCGTGGTGGATTCAATCAAGGACTTGGGCGAGGTGGCTTCAACCAAGATGACAGAGCAAGTTTAAACCAGGAACGAGGACGTTTCAATGATGGACCGGGCCGGACTGATTTCAACCAGGACAGAGGTGGTTTTAATCAAGGAGAGAGCCGTGGTGGCCTTGGACAAGGGAGTTTTGGTTTTCACAATGACAGAAGTTTAAAATCGGTTGATCTTGACCTTGGATTTAATCAGGACCAACTAGGATTTGGCCAAGGACTGGGTCGTGGTAGATTCAGTCAGGATCGTGGCGGTTTTAACCAAGGAGAAAGCCGCGGAGATTTCAAACCTGGGCAGGGCCCATGTGGTTTCAACCAGGAACGAGGAGGCTTAAGTCAAGGATTAGGTCGTGGTTTTAACCAAGGACAGGACCAAGGATTGGGTCGTGGTGGGTTTGATCAAGGATTGGGTCGTGGTGGCTTTGATCAAGGAATGGGTCGTGGTGGTTTTGATCAAGGATTAGGACGTGGATTGAATCAAGGATCAGACCAAGGATTAGGTCGTGGTTTTGGTCAAGGACCTGACCAAGGATTAGGCCGGGGGGGTTTAAATCAAGGACCAGACAAAGGATTAGGTCGAGGTGGCTTCAGTCAAGGACAGGACCAAGGTCGTTTCAATCAAGGACCTGATCAGGGTTTAGGCCATGGTTTCAATCAAGGATCAGATCAAGGATTAGGTCGGGGTGGCTTCAATCAAGGACCTGACCAAGGAATAGGTCGAGGTGGCTTCAATCAAGGACCTGACCAAGGAATGGGTCGTGGTGGCTTCAATCAAGGACCTGACCAAGGAATGGGTCGTGGTGGCTTCAATCAAGGACCTGACCAAGGAATAGGTCGAGGTGGCTTCAATCAAGGACCTGACCAAGGAATGGGACGTGGTGGCTTCAGTCAAGGACCTGACCAAGGAATGGGTCGTGGTGGCTTTAATCAAGGAGCAGACCAAGGATTGGGTCGGGGTGGCTTCAATCAAGGACCAGACCAAGGATTAGGTAGGGGTGGCTTCAATCAAGGACAGACTCCTGGATTAGGTCGTGGTTTCAACAAAGGCCAGGATCAAGGACTAGGGCGTGGTGGCTTCAATCATGGACAAGACCGGGCAGAGTTTGGCTTTGGGACAGATGCTCGTGGCTTGGATCATGGACTAAACAGAGAAGGACTTGGCAGGGGACTAGGTCGAGGAGGATCTTTACTAGGTGACTACGATTCAAAGAGTGACAGAGGAGGATTTGATCTGGGAAACAGAGGAAGAGGATTCTTTAATCAGGACTCAGAGCATGAACGCAATGAAGGTTTTCTCAGAGAAGGTGGTAGAGGCGGATTTTCCTCTGAACGAGGAAGAGGAGGCATGTCCAGAGAGCCTGACCAGCTGGGCCGTGGTCGTGGAAGATTCGACTCCCCAGACCAAGGCTTTGCCCCAGGCCAAGGGCGAAATTTCCCAGCAGTCCGACAAGGCCCAGAAGGAATTAATACTGATAAACAAGGAAAAGGTCTATTGGATAGAGTAGAACATAGTTCATTTGACAAAGATGACCGTATACAGGGAGGATTTGATAGAGATGATAGAAATAAAGGCATTGGAAGGGGAAATATAATTGATAAGGAGATCAGAGGAATGTTGGATCAAAAGAATTTGGATAGAGGTGGTCCTTCTCAGAGGGGTCGAGGGCGAGGTGCTTTTGATAATCGAGGTCCTGGTCAAGAAAGATTTAATCAAACTGGGATGGAAGTGGAAAGAGGGATAAAAGATCAAGATGACAGAGTCCCTGGAGGTCTTGACAAAGGTGAAAGGGGTAGAGGCTCTGCTGACCCTGGTAGGCGAGGTCCTGGAGGAGTCGAGTCCAGCAGGTGGGATAAAGGAGGCTTTAACTCAAGTGGGAGAGGAGGCTCTGGCTCAACAAGATGGGGTCAAGGAGGCTTCAATCAAAGTGGTCGAGGCCGAGAAGGCTCTGACTCGAGTGAACAAGATCGTGGGCGAGGTCATTCGACCGAATTTAGTAAACGTGACGGTGATAACAGTCGAAGTGGAAATAATCAAGCTGGAAGAGGCCGAGGTGGAAATGATCAAAATGACAGAGGTCGCAGTGGAAATGATCAAGGTGACAGAGGTCGAGGTGAAAGTGGACAAGTTGGCAGAGACCGAGGTGGAAATGATCGGAGTGGCAGGGGCCGAGGTAGAAATGAAGAGACTGGAAGAGGACGGGATAGAAATGAAGCTGGTAGAGGTCAAGGTGGAAATGATGAAGGAAGCAGAGGAGGAAATGAAGGTGGCAGAGGTGGTGTTGGAAGTGATCAGGCTGGCAGAGGCAGGGGTGGCAATGATCAAGCTGGTAGAGGCAGAGGTGGAAGTGATCAAGCTGGTAGAGGAAGGGGTGGAAATGATCAAGTAGGTAGGGGCCGAGGTGGAAAAGATGAACCTGGCAGAGGTGGAAATGATCAACCTGACAGAGGGCGAGGTGGAAGTGACCAAGCCGGCAGAGGCCGTGGTGGAAATGACCCAACAGACAGGAGTCGAGGTGGAAACGATCAAGCTGGCAGAGGTAGAGGTGGAAGTGATCAAGCCAGCAAAGGTAGAGGAGGAAACGAACCAGATGTCAGAGGTCGTAGTGGAAACGATCAGTCTGGCAGAGGACGAGGTGGGAATGATCAAGCCGGCAGAGGTCGAGGTGGGAATGATCAGCCTGGCCGAGGCCGAGGAGGACGTGATGATTTCAACGACAGAAGGTCAAGAGACTGGCGTGATGCAGATAGCAAAGAGTTTGGTGGTCAGCGTGATGGTAGAGATTGGAGAGGAAATAATGATAGGTATGTATCATTGTAGTAATATTGAATGTTTAGATTATAATCTGTAATAATTATAATTTAAAAGTGAAATAATCATGGTGGGGAAAATTAGTAAAACAGAAATACTGTATGTACTAAATTTCTTCAGTACTTTACCTGGAGATTTTCTCAATCTCAAGTGACTAGCTACATGTAAATAAATATGTTCATGACCTCCACTAAACTATTGCACCAACTTTGACATTAATCTTGAACCCATACAAATCTACTCTACTAGCCTGTACTCTTGGACATCACCACAGCACTGTATGACCCATATGGGTTTAGTGCTTATTCCTTAATACACTAGGAATAATTATAATAGTCCCATCTTTGGGTGTCTGCATGTGAAGACTTGAAAGAGCTCCTAAAATTATTGCTTAAAGAATTCTTGCTGGTTGTATATTAGTTCTGTGTATATTGTAGATCTCAAAATTTTTACTTCAGTTTATCTGCAAATTTTTATCCATATCTCTCACTACTCACTGTCTGTTTTATGGGTTGAACTGTTTTGCTTGGAGTTTTCATTCACTTTACTAATTTAATTGTTTTGCTTACTAGATCTCTACTGATTTTTAAATAGAAATTTTAACAGTATGGTGTTTTATCATGTTTCTTTATCCTTCTGACCTGTTCTTTTATAGTAAAGCCTAAATCATTTGTTAAATTCTTAATTAAAATTTCCTCTTTTCATTTATCAGTATTGTAGATACAACTTCTTAAACATTTAATAATAGTCCCTTGTCTTTTCAAAATTTCTTCAAGAAGTCTACTATAGGAGTATACAAATAACAAGGTTTGAGGAACACACAAGTACATGTTTGTCAAAAGTTGTTTCAGATTTCTCATCCACCTCAGAGCTGGGGTGTGCACCTAAAACATAACAAGGATTTTCCTTCAGAACTGCAACACTAAGCTGCTATAACAGAAAATTAGCTGCTCCGTGATCTTTAGTTGCTGTAATAAGCTTTTTTTCCTTTGCTCTTTAATAAACTTTAATGACAATTTTTTTATTTTTGGAAGTACTCTCTGGAGTTATTTAAACAAAGTATCACAAACTTTTCAGTTTGATTTTTTCCTTTCTCTAATTTTCTTTTGGAGAATTTTTGTTTTCCTATGCCTCTCTTGGACACCACTAACAGTACTGTATACTCATTTTTCTATTCTTTTCATTTTATTCAGTTTGCTTTAAACTGGTAAGCGATTCCCAGAATTATTTGTTCCAGGCTGAGATTGGTTGCAAGCAATCAGATTCATTTCTTTTGAATAAAAGTGCTACTTTTTGTGGTTTAACATGGCATTGTTTGTCACACTTCAGATTTTCAAACAAAGATGATTTAAGGAGTGGAGGAGGAAGAGGCCGAGGTGGTGAGAGAGGCGGTGGTGGTGGTAACTTTGGTCACTCAGGTGAGTCCTCACTCATTCATCTTGTGTGTACACATAGGCTGATATTCTTTTTCCTGCTTTCCCTCTTCTCTCCCTGCTCTCTCTCTCTTCCCCTGCTCTCTCTCTCTTCCCTTGCTCTCTCTCTCTCTCTCTTCCTCTCTCTTCCCCTGCTTGCTCTCTCTTCCCCTACTTGCTCTCTCTTCCCCTGCTTGCTCTCTCTTCCCCTGCTTGCTCTCTCTTCCCCTGCTTGCTCTCTCTTCCCCTGCTTGCTCTCTCTTCCCCTGCTTGCTCTCTCTTCCCCTGCTTGCTCTCTCTTCCCCTGCTTGCTCTCTCTTCCCCTGCTTGCTCTCTCTTCCCCTGCTTGCTCTCTCTCTCTCTCCCCCTGCTTGCTCTCTTCTGCTTGCTCTCTTCTGCTTGCTGTCTTCTCCTGCTTGCCTCTCTCTTCCCCTGCTCTCTCTCTCTCCCCCCTGCTCTCTCTCTCCCCCTGCTCTCTCTCCCCTCTGCTCTCTCCTGCTCCCCCCTGCTCTCTCTCCCCCTGCCTCTCTCTCTCTCCCCCTGCTCTCTCCTCTCCTCTCTCCCCTGCTCTCTCTCTCCCCCTGCTCTCTCTCCCCTCTCTCTCTCCCCCTAGCTCTCTCTCCCCCTCTCTCTCTCTCCCCCTGCTCTCTCCCTCTCTCTCCTCCTCTCCCCCCTGCTCTCTCTCCCCCGCTCTCTCTCCCCCTGCTCTCTCTCTGCTCTCCCCCTGCTCTCTCTCTCTCTCCCCCTGCTCTCTCTCTCCTGCTCCTCCCCCCTGCTCTCTCTCGTCTCCCCCTGCTCTCTCTCTCTCTCCCCCTGGCTCTCTCTCTCTCTCCCCCTGCTCTCTCTCTCTCTCCCCCTGCTCTCTCTCTCCCCCCCTCCTCTCCTCTCCCCCGCCCTCTCTCCCCCTGCTCTCTCGTCTCCCCCTGCTCTCTCTCTCTCCCCCTGCTCTCTCTCTCTCCCCTGCTCTCTCTCTCTCCCCCTGCTCTCTCTCTCTCCCCTGCTCTCTCTCTCTCCCCCTGCTCTCTCTCTCTCCCCTGCTCTCTCTCTCTCCCCCCTGCTCTCTCTCTCTCCCCTGCTCTCTCTCTCTCCCCCTGTCTCTCTCTCTCCCCTGCTCTCTCTCTCTCCCCTGCTCCTCTCTCTCCCCCTGCTCTCTCTGCTTCTCCCCCTGCTCTCTCTCTCTCCCCTGCTCTCTTTTCCCCTGCTCTCTCTCCCCTGCTCCTCTCCCCCTGCTCTCTCTCTCCCTACTCTCTCTCTCTCCCCCTGCTCTTTCCTCTCTCTCTCCCCCCTGCTCTCTCTCCTCTCCCCCCTGCTCTCTCTCTCTCCCCCTGCTCTTCTCTCCTCTCCCCCCCTGCTCTCTCTCCCCCCTGCTCTCTCTCTCTCCCCCTTTCTCTCTCTCTCTCCCCCTTTCTCTCTCTCTCTCTTCCCCCTTTCTCTCTCTCTCTCCCCCTTTCTCTCTCTCTCTCTCTCTCCCCCTTTCTCTCTCTCTCTCCCCCTTTCTCTCTCTCTCCCCTTTTCTCTCTCTCTCTCCCCTTTCTCTCTCTCCCCCTTTCTCTCTCCTCTCTCTCTCTCTCTCTCTCTCTCTCTCTCTCTCTCTCTCTTTCTTCCCCCCACATTCTCTCCCTCTTTTCTCTGCCCCACATTCTCTCCCACATGTTATTCCTCTTTTCTCTGCCCTGTCTCCCTATCCCCCCTTCCCCATCTCTCCCTCTCCCCCCTGCAAGTCGTTTTTCACCCCCCCCCCCTCTTCCTTGCTTCCTAATTCCTTCCTCTCATTTCCTCTTCCATATCTTACCTTTTCTCATTCTGTCCCCTGCTGTATATCTTCCATGCTGCATTTCATGGTATTTCTCTTCCTCTTGCATACTGTTTTAGTCCAGAAGCATTTTAGATTTCAAATTGCAACCAAATTTTAATATCATTGGCCAGCAATGGAAATTATAAATTTGTAGTTATGCATCGCCTCTTTTTCAATAGTGGTGGATCGTGGCATGGGTCGAGGCCGAGGTGGTGGCCGGGGCTATGATATTTGGGATAATTGTGAGATGGATAGCAGCAGAGGTGATGGACCACAGGGTTGGAATAGAGGTACTGTACATATATTTAAGAAACAGATAATGTATAATGTCAAGGTTGTTGGAAAGTTGCACTAGTTTAATTAACCAAGTTTGCAAGTCATAGCCTCTTAATCATTGTTTGTGCGCATTGTTTGAAATTTGCACGCTTACATGAATGTCTTAAATATATACAGTAAACCCTCTTGTAATGCAATTTCGCGTTTTGCAATTTTCTTGGTGTGATTCAAATAAGTGTTGTGATTCAAATAAGTGTGACCCAAAAAAAATTTCAGTGCACGGGCATTCTGACGTGAACTTCGTAAATTACTGTATATTTAGATGATGTGTGAAATATCAGTACTACATAATTTAGCATTATGATCTTAATTTGGGTAACACATGCTCTGATACACTTACTACTATCCCACCGACAACACACAGTTGCTTTCTAGAAGCATTATGTGACGATATAAGTAGGGTGTGGAGGATATCTACCCAAGGACAATTTGGAACAAAAGATTCAGGTTGGATAAATTCAGATTTAGAAAGTATATATTAAAGTACTGGTTTAGTAATGTAGTTGAGGAGTGGAACGATCTGCCAAGTAGAGGTGCTGAAGTTGTGTTGACACCTTGGGTGGCTTAAAAAAATGGGTTGGACAAATGAGTGAGAAAACTTGGGTTTGAGATGGACCTGCTTAGCATGGGCTAGTAGGCATAGTGCAGTGGTCTTCCAATCTTCTAGTGTCACTCTGTTTGTCAAACTATCTTGAATATTTTCATCACTTGTATCTGGTACGTGGATGGCTTCCAGTTGGAATACTAATGATGCAGGAAGTGCTAAAAAGAATAAGGCAAACCCTCATTATACTTAACCTCAATGTAATTGACTTCTGGGTAAAATGTGCTTTATTTATTTTCAGTGTTTATTGTAGTATATCTATAAATTGTGTGTACAATATTAGCTATATAGTAGAGCACTTTTGTGCATTTTTTCCTATTTTTTTTATTTTATTTATTTTTTTTTTTAACATTCTGATGTACTGGCCTCTTCTATATAACCCTCGTCGTCCATTTTGAATCCGTTGTCATGCAAAATCTTTTTTACATATTTCTTGGCTATTAAGGCATAACTAAGAATGCTTGGTCATAGATTGGGATGGGAGGGGCCTTACCCTTCTTCAGGAAACTCTCCCAAAATTGAGCATTTCTGCCAACTTGACACCTATTTCAGGCTACTTTTGGTCATACTCCAACCAAACTATTCTCCATTTCACTAGCATGTTTTCTGGTCTGTCTGTTGGTACTGAGAAACAGTAAATAAAACCATGGAAACTACTTAATTAATTTAACCTGGATACAGGGTCAAAGGTTAGCTCTTCTGTCATGCACTGAGTAGGATGAGTTTTTTTTTTTTTTTTTTTTTTTTTTTTTTAATACTGTGCATATCCACTGAATAGGCCCAGTCTCTCATTTCTTGGCCAAAATTTGCCGACAGCAAATTTGAGCACACTATGAATTATGCATAGAGTTATGACACAGACAATGATCCCACCGAAGTAAATCTACATGACTTAGAGTTTAATCGTTAAAAAATATAATAGTGTCCATAACAGGGTTTTCTGGCCAGCTCTGTAAAGTATTCCTCATAAAACATACCAAAGATATATAACAGAGCACTAAAGTGAGCACTTCGATACAACCATCAACTATTGACACTGATCACATGAACATAACCCCAGCTATCCATAGCCCAGTGGGCTAACCTCAACCCTCCACACTTGTGTTTCAAGTAGAAAGAAAGCACTACCAGAATATGAGGTATTGTACCAAGTATGACACTAACAAATTTTGTATCTGGAAAAATAACCCTGTTTTTTACCACGTGTTCTTTGCTTGATATAACACTATTTTATTTTCAAGAACATAACCTGTGCATTATGAGAGGATTTACTGTATATGCTAGTTTTTAATGTTAAAATTTATAGTTATTCAAATTGGTATTTTTATAACACTGGCCATCTCCCATCAAGGTTAGGGTTATTCACTTGTCACTGCCTTGTCAGAGGAGTGCTGATTATACAGTTCAGATGCCCCTCCAAACTTCAGATATCCACACCCCTCCTGCAGAATGCAGACATAGTACTTACCACCTCCAGGATTCAAGTCTGGCTAACCAGTTTCCCTGAATTCCTTCTTAAAATGTTACCTTGCTTACACTCCACCAGTTCGTTAAGTCCTGAAAAACTTGCTTCCACTCCTCTCTCTCTCATACACATGAATGCACACACACCTATTTAATGTTCAAGTCGTCTCACTAACCAAACAACCTTTACCCCCTCCCTCCAACCTTTCCTAGGATGACCCCTACCCTGCCTTCCCTCCACTATAGATTTTTATACCCTCCAAGTTAATCTGTTTTGCTCCATCCTCTCTAAATGTTTAAACCGCCTCAACAAACCCTTCTCAGCCCTCTGGTTAATACTTTTAGTAACCCCATTCCTCTTCCTAATCTCCAAGCTACGAATTCTCTGCACAATATTTACGTCGTGCTTTGTCCTCAGAAACGACATCTCCACTACCTCCAACCACCTCCGCTTTGCATCATTCACAACCCATGCTTCACACCCATGTGAGAATGATGGTAACACTATACTCTCATACATTTTTCCTTGTGCCTCCATGGATAATGTTCTTTATCTCCACATATGCCTCAGTGCACCACCCACTTTTCCCAGCATCAGTTCTATGGTTCACCTCATCTTTCATGTACCCATCTGCCGACAGCTCCACTCTCAAATGTCTGAACGCATTAACTTCCTGTCATACTTTCTCCTTCCAATCTGATATCCAATATTCCATTTCCTAAATAGTTGGTTACCCTCATCACCTTCCTCTTGCCTATGTTCATTTTTAATTTCCTTCTTTTACGTACATACTGTCCCAAATTTGTCCAAGATTTGCAACTTTTCAGAATCTCCCAAAAGCATAGTGTCATCAGCACAAAACAACTGTGACAACTCACTGTTTTACATAGCCTACCATGTATTGCATACACTTGCTACATCTGCCACATTGCTCCTTAATCCACCCTATCATATGCCTGTGCATTATAAAAAATACAATACAGTAAAACTAAACTAGTAACAGTGATTCAGTGAAGTACAGTAGTTCATTAAAAAATCTTTGAAATAATCCATGTTTCACCTTGTTAATTGGTGTGAGTTATGGAGGCTACAAAAATATTGCATTGTGTTGAGTGGAGGTGATGTGATGGTAGCAGTGGCAGCCAAGATGACTTTGAAAGCCTCTTGAGGGTTTACTATTTTTCCAAGTGTAGTTTCTTCCTGTAAATCTGCTTATAGGTCACTAGGAGCATCAGACCTTTCCCAGACAACAAGCTTTAATCCAAGTTTGTGTGTATATTCCTTTAAAGGGCTGCCAAAGGGCTTTCGATGGAAGAAATTAAAGCGTTTCTCAAATCAAATATGCTTACCAAACCCTCTCCCTTCCCCCTAGTCCACAGGTACTGTATGACCCTATGGGTTTGGTGTTTCCTTGTTGATATTGTAATAATAAACTGCACTATATCTGTGGTTTCCAGGAGTACCTGATTATGGTCATAAATGCTACTCTGTAATCAACTATTCTGCATGGTACTTCAAGGGATTTGAAGGTCTACTGGCCAGGTTGTTGGATGGATCTCTGGAATTCTTTTCCTTCTTTTTCATAAATCTGCAAGATCATGAGTACATCTTGCTGCTTTTGCTACATTTAGGTCACGCTACACATACATGAACACGTATATGTATACACACCGATCTGAGTTTTCTCTTTTCATCTCCATAGGAAAGTGGAAAAGAATCTTTCCTCCATAAGACGTGCATGTCGTAAGAGGCAACTAAAATGCTGGGAGAAAGGTTCTAGTACTCCCTTCTCCTGCATAAATTACTATGTGTAAAAAGGGAAACTTTCATTTTTCTTTTTAGGTTGCCTTGCCTTGGTAGGAGATGGCCAGTGAGTTGAAAACAAAAAAGTTTTTTTTACTATTATCATTAATTTATAAATGGCTAAACAGATTTTTCTAAGTGAACGCCATGCATTTTTGTTCTGCCTCTTTTGAATTGTGTCCAGGTATCTTCACCAAATATCCCAATATCCCAGTCTTTTGATCAGGCCTACTGCTTGATGTTCTGATAAGCCAGATTGTTAGTGCTTGTATCTCAGTCTGAGATGTACACCACAGCCCAACTGATCAAGGATAATTAGTTTGCTGGAACTAGTCTCTTGGTATAATTCATGAAATTTGTTAAGCTATTGGAAAGCCTTTTAACATTTATGAACCTTTTACTGTGCCTCCCAGTCTCATAGTTATTTCAATATGCAGATCTGGACCTGATTCCTCTTGTATTTTTCAGAAGAATAAAATGGTTTCTTTCTCTCTTGCACTTCATCTGTTGAATAGACAGGAACATTTTGTTCTAAATTTAGATTTCCCTTGATTGTGTAGATGTGATTTCACCAGTTCATTGTTTTAACTTTTTGCTTTCCTGGGCTGTGTATCGTGCTTTCAGCTTTTGCTCAGTACTTTGTTTTTCATCGCTCCTTGTATTTTAATAGTTTTACTATTAGTCTGCTTTTAGTTGCCACAGGGTGTATGGTTTGTTTTTAAGAATGCATTTTAATTTGTAAAAATGTGGTAGGACTACATATGATTTTGAACGTGATTTGTGTAATTCATATGCTGTTGTTATTTCCTTAAACTTTCCATTACATTTTATTTAAATTGTTCATTTTCTCATATAAAGATTTAAATGGCTTATAAGAAAAGCATTTAACTTAACAAGTAGGGTCGTTTATAAGTATGGTAATGTACTTATATTGGGCAAGTAAAGTTTCTCGTACTAGGTTTTCTTATTAGTGTATTCAGATACAGCTCTAAGTCATGATGACAGCTCTTATTGTTGTGAAACCTTTGCACTTGTTGCAGATATGGTAGGTACTACTGCTTTTTGTTAAATCTTCTCAAATATTAGGAAATATATGTACAGCACATATTTGGTTGACTTCAGATAACAGAAGAGGACAAGATCGAGGTTTTGAAGTGGGTGCTGGGAGACCCGCTGGGATTCCTGGACTGGACTTGGCTGAAGAGCTGCCCAAGAAAGAGAAAGAAAAAGAAAAAAATGAAGCTAAGAAGGATTCATCTGCAAAGACTGTGTTCCATGACCAGGAAGATGAAAAAATTGGTAAGGTGGTAAAATTGATATCAGGGAGAAGAGTTAGAGATTGATGGTATGGTATATATGCATAAAATGTAAATGACTGGACCATTAAAAAATTAGAAAGTCATATTATCATTTGATAGTTCTGAGATTGTTGCCCCTTGTAATCATGTTATCTGTTGGTGGTTCCAGGATCATTGTTTTCTTAGCACAATCTAGGGCCTGAAAATATGATAGGAATTTGATAGAATGGAAGATATATTACAGAAATAGAGATGATTTTGATTGGTTTTAGTACTGGAAATAGCTTGAAACTGAGCTCAAAGTAGCAGAAATGTTAAATTTTTGCTCTGTTCAAGAGTAAACAAATGACCTCACACGTCTAATACACGCCAGCTGGTGGGTCTAATATACGCTGACAAATGTGCTGATATTATTTATACAATTATTACAATATTGCAAAACAGTAAATCTTCTATTTTTTGGTTTGAATAAAAATTCATTATGTGAATAAAAAATCAAAATGGAATTCATTTGTAAAGCCTGAAAACATAACTAATGAACAGAAGAAATGTTAGTTTAGTGCCAGGAATGCCTGCATTGTTTATTCTGGAACCTATTTTGAAACTGAAATATTTTGAACTTTGCATTAAATTGGCCAAATTACCAATTTCCAATCACTTTATTTTGTAGTTGAAACAGTTGACTTGGCTACTTCTTGTGCTCAGCCGATAGAATAGAAGTAATACTAGTGAAATAGCTAAGAATTTGGTCGACTGGAATAATATAATTGGCCTGAAATGGGAGTCAAAGTTGGCAAAATCGCCGATGCGTAGATATCACTGACACATCAAAATTCATGTGAGCATAATTTCGTCAGTTTTCCATCAAATTTTGTACTTTTTGTTTTATTACCTTCAGAAAAAGATTCTCTACCATTTCATAAGTTTTTTTTTGACCCTGGTGCACACTTTGACACTTGGCCTCTGGACCCTGAAAAGGTTAAGAAATGCAATCTTCTGCATCAGCAGGCAGAGTCCAGTACTTCTGAGGACAGCCAGACAACTATAAAAGATTCATAATTCAGGCATTACAAATAATTGGCAGTGTTGTACACCTCCTCTCCCCCCATTAGTCCATTAATGAGAGATTTTACTGTACTGCTCTCCTGTAATGAGTTTAAAGTGGAAAATTAAATATTTGATATTTTGGCAGGATTGCTGGTCATCTTGTAATGAATTTATATGAAGGCAAACAAGTTTTATATACTTGTACTACATTCATTACTACTTTCAGCAAACTGGCCATATCCCGAGGTAGGGTGGCCCAAAAAGAAAACAAAAGTTTCTCTTTTTAACTTCGGTAATGTATACAAGGAGAAAGGGTTAATAGTCCCTTGCTCCCGGTAATGTATACAAGGAGAAAGGGTTAATACATGTAGTCCCTTGCTCCCGGTATTTTAGTCACCTCATACAACACCCCTTTCATTACTTATTTACTTATATTTAGCAGTCCTTAACCTTGACTTTTCTGTGTTTCATAATGCAGTATTTCTTATTCATGCAATAGTCTCTTGGAACTTAGATCGTCTGGTCTGAGAGAGGGCTGTAAAGGTGGGGCCAGAAACAATTAAGTTATATTAACATTTACTCTCATCACTCATTCAAAGTGTAGACACTACTACTTGTCTGAAAACTAGTCTGGTTAATTATTTTTTAATTTTGTCATAGACATTACCATAGTCATACTACAGTAGTACATTGAATTTCAAGAGCCATATGTCTGTTGTATGCTCCTTAACTCAGAACCTTTGTATCTCTTTCACTAACTGAAGCGATAACTGAAACCTTATAATTTAATTAGTTCAATTGGCTTTATCACATGACAAGGTGATCAGATGTGTCTTGGTTTTCAGTGCAATTTCTTCAATTATTGCTTCAGTTGTCTTCACTCTTTGGATTCTCTCTACTCGATGCCTCTAAATTTGACTCGATTCATTTGAAATACAATTTTTGGGTACATTATTAGTGAATGACACCATAAATAGTACATTTGTGAGAGAAAAAGTGGCACATTATTAGAGGTGTTTAATTAAATTGCCAAGATTTGTTTCAAATTTAACCTACCTTATTTCACTTTATTTTTTAACCCAATAGACACCTCCCTCAAGGGTAGGGTGACTCAGAAAAACATTCACCATCACTTATTCAACCGCCATCTTTTCAGAAATGCTTCAACATCACAATTGGATTATCTTCTAACTATAGCATCCACACTCCTCCAGAGTGTAGGCACCACCTTCCCACCTCCAGGAGTCAAGTCTGGCTAACTGGTTTTTCTGAATCCCTTTAAGAGTTATCCTTCTCATACTTCGACAGCACATTCATTAAAAGCCACTTGTCTCCATTCACCCCTAACATCCTCACACATGCCTGCTGGATGCTCAAGCCCCTAACACTCAAAGCTTGTTTTACCCCCTTCCCTCCAACCATTCCTTGGATGATGCCTTCCTTTCTTACCTTCTACTCCAGATTTATACGCCCTCTTTTATCAACCTATCCCTCTCCTTCTCTACATGCTCAAACCACCTCAGCAACCTTTCTTTGGCCTCTCTGGACATACCCTTTATGACCTTAACACATCACCTTTTGATTTCTAAACTCTGAATTCTCCGAATGGTGTTCACGTTATGCGTTGGTGTCAAACGTGATCACTGCTTTTTCTAACCTCCCTATCCTCCACTGCATCATTCAAAACCCATGCTCCTTACTCGTGAGGCTGTTTGTTGCATTCATAGAGTTAGAAAAACATACAGGGTAGATAAGGGAGCAATGTGGCAAATGTTGCAAATGTATGAATTGGGGGTTGGTTAGTAAAACCAGGTAAAGATTTTTTTAGTTTTTAAGGGACTGTACCAGAGTAATGTATCAATACTTTTATATGGGTGTGAGGCATGGGTTTTATTTTGTTTTTGTAGACATTACTATACAGACTGCTATAATTTATTAATTTCAGATGTGAAGCTTGGAGCAGAACCACTGAAAATTGGGCCAATTGGTGTACCTCCTCAAAAGCATGAAAAATTCACACTCCCAGGAGACTGGTATGATGATGAGGAAGACAGTGAACGGAAAGAAGGCAATGGTGAAAGCAAATCTGAAGGAGCTAAACAAACAGATAGCCCCCAGCAAAAGGATAAGCCTCCTGTAAGTTGACAGAGTTCTCCTTGTGAAATGTGCATGTGCTGCACATTAATTTTTTCTTTTATATTGACTCGTAAGACTCTCCGTATGTTTGCTTGTCTCTGTCCCTTTTTTTTTTTTTTTCTTCTTTTTTATCCTGAGCTCAACTGTCCAGGTAGACTAGCAGTACCAGTGACATTTGTTTAGTGCATTGTTTCCACCAGGTAATTTTCATGTGCAGTAGTACATGATCTGTTCTGTAGGAAAAATGAATACTCTTAAAGTGAAATTCAACATAGTGTACATACAGTAGTCTCAAACCAGAAGTGACTTAAAAAAATAAAGGAAATAATATGTGGATCATGAAACTACGAAGCCTGCATCCCTTTATTTTCAGGGCCTTTTATTAATTGTTTATGGGGTTACTGGGGGGTGAGGGAGCAGTACATCCAATACAGATTAACATAAAAAATTATGTGAGTAGATGTGATATAATTCAAACAAATGCTAGAACCAACAGTGTGGCTGAACCTTGTTTTTACTCTCAGGAGGAGATGTATAGAGTGATTTGAATATGGAATTTTACTGGAAGCAAGGAGTGATGTGCAGTACTGTACCGTGTTGACATACTGCTACCTGGTGGATATGAAACAAGAAAAAAGAGAAAATAAAGAACTGAATAGACTGATGTACAGGAAAGGTTACTATGAAGAAATTATAAGCTTTCTGACAAAAGCACAGTGTAACTAGAGGCACATTTGTACAACTTGCAGGAAAAGAGAGAAACTGGAAGAAACCACGGTTTAAATCATGTAAGAGTACTAGGTATAGTTGTGAATATGCAGTTGCATGTCCACAACTATACCAACTCAATGTGTATAAAACATTTGTAGGTAGCCTCAAGAGCTGCTCAACCCATTATTATATAGAAATTGCAATATTTTATGTTATGCGGATACATCATTAGAGCTTGATTTTTTTATGTACAAAACATCTCCCTGAATAGTTCCCAGCTGTTGCTCAGCCCACTTTTATATAGAAATTCCAATACCAGATGGGTCTCCTGGATATAGTAGCAGATTAATTGTTCATCACTTTCTGTGAAATGAGAATCTCATTATGACAGTAGTAAATGCCTATCTGATGTTCTGTTCAAATAAGAGTAATTATGAGCTTGAAATTGTATGCAATGCACAAGGGAGGATAGAGTAAGAGGGACATAATTGCAAGTTCAATGTTTGAATAATATTTAGAGGTTGGGAGACATTTTTCTAGTGTATTAGTTTTGTGGCAGTAAAGAAGTGATATAAGCTAGATATAGGTACAGTTGAAGCAAATGCTATATAGAGGTTCATATGTTAATATAAAAGATAATTCATGGCACACAGTTGAAATTAAAGAATCTAGCTTAAGAGCCTGAGCTTTTGCCTCATGCAGATTCAAATAGGAGATTACACAGATTCTTATATTATTCCTTATCTGTCCTGTTATGAATATTACAATTCATATTTATAGTTCTGTTGAGCACTCTTAGCCATGAGCTCTCTCTCATCAGCTCTTGATCCCTTGCTTTCAATCTTCAGTTTTACTATTGCATTTAATTTCTTGCATTTGCCAGTCAAGAATTTGTTGCTGCTGTTATATAGTTTTTGAAAGTTGCTAAAGGAAGGTGTGATGTCCACCCCCCAGGTTCTTTGTCCAATGCCTAGAGTTCCTTAACCTCAGAGGTAAAGTACTTTTGCCTTTTCCCAGCACTTATTCAAGGCTAAATAAAATCTTGGCAGTTTGTTGAAAAATTCCTGCAGGTTCTTTCCTTTCTCATATGTTCTTGTTTGCATCACCTTCGTATCTTCGAGTGATTATAGGTACAGGTGATTTTTTCTGGTAGGTCATTTTGTACACAGTGCACTGTGTATTGTTGGACTATGATAATTTTACTGCCTCTGATGCTTCTTTCATCACCTTGACACTTTCCTTTTAGTTGTCTAGGTGCCCACTGAACTGTTGTCAGTTTTCTTGTTACTAGTTGGGGATCATTCTGCAGTACATTAGTGTTAGGATTGTTGACAGTAATAATAGTTAGTCTGCTTGTTCTGCTGGATTATTGTTGATTTACAGAATTCTTATAGCTTTGTGAAGCAACATTTATTTACTAACCCAAATTGCTGTTTGTGTTATGTATTTGCCTGATTGTGTTTGCAGTAAGCAAGCTCTAGTTCCTAGGTCCCAACTCCTAACCATTAATTGATATCTAATGTCTCCTTATTAATTGAAAAGCCTTTGTCCTGTGCAAATACAAATTTGTATAGCGTTTATATTCTACTCGCTAAAAATCTACACAAGAATTTGTTCCTTAATTACCTCTTGCTAGTTTTGCAGGTCACTGTCCCTGTCTGTTCTTTCATGTCCTTATTCAGAATCCTCTTTGTCCATTTCTTTTGATGACTTGAATGTTTCTAATGCTTTAACTATTGCTGTTTGTTGTATTTAGTGATGAGATTTCTGTCTTTCCTCATAGTTCAGCATGTATGGTGTTGGTAATGTACATTGCAGTTGTGCCTGTGTTTTCAGGTGAGCATACTTCTGTGTTACATTCTTGTATGAATTTTATGCTCCTGTGCATATCTGTGGGTATCACCAGTTTTGTCAGTGATTCAGAAATTTTTTCTCTTGGATTTTTAATTGACTTTTCCCAATTGCAAAGCATTTTTCTTTGTAGGTTAACAAAGAAACCCCAAAACCAGGTTTTGGAGGACAGCCAAATCAAGATATGGATGGCCCTCAAAGGCCAGGCTTAGAAAATGCACCAAGGCCACATTTGGGAGGTACTCCAAGGCAAGAATTGGGTGGTCCACCATGGCAAGACGTAGGTGGCCCATCTCGGCAAGATTTTGGGGGTCCACCTCGTCGAGATTTGGGTGGCCCACCACGGCAAGATTTTGGAGGGCCTCCACGGCAAGATTTTAGTGGTCCGCCACGACAAGAATTTGGAGGTCTATCTAGGCAAGATTTTGGAGGCCCATCAAGGCATGGCTTTGGTGGAACAACTAAATCCGATTTGGATGGTCAACCCAGGTCAGATTTTGAAGGTGCAGCAAGGCGAGGTTTTGGAGATTCTGATAGACAAGATTGTGGAGGAATGCCAAGAAGGACTTTTGATGATCCACAGAGGCCTGAATTTTGGGAATTGGATAGAGGTGACTCCACATCCCTGGGAAGGGATGCACAAGGTGGAGCCAGGTGGCAGGATACTATAAGAGACAGACAGGTAAGATTTATTGTACTGTCTATTTTCGTGCAAAAAGTAGCTATATCTGCAAAGAAATCATGTACGGGTTTTGAGGTAAAGAAGTTCAGTGAAGCAAGAAGTGTGAAATTTGATATTTCTCTACAAGAAGAGGGGTTGACATAATTATCAAATACTAAAATGGTTTGGGTGCATTTTGTGAAGGGATGAGGAAGAATGAAAATGGGAATAAATTGATTTATTTAATTTAAAAGTGGTTGTACATCTATTCTTTTTACATTATACAAATTATATTATATAGGAATTTTAAAATTCTTTTTGAATTCAGCACATAAAACAATGATCTTTCACACAAGATCCACACTGCAGTAAGGCATCTCTGATACAAATTTCTTTATCAAAAAATTCAGGTATGTTGTCAACCTGATCATTCTCTGCAAATCTGAGAAAAATGATCATATTTTCTATTCTCTACATTTTCTCAAAATCTCATACCATATCTTAGATGCTCATAGCAACAACAACATACTTTCATTAGTGAAAGGCCTAAAAGTAATCTAATACTGTCAACAAGTAAAGTGATTTTGGCAACAAATGTTGTACCCTTGTGAATTTCTGTTCAGATTGAAGGCATGGACATTGAACCAACCTGTAAATCACAGTGAATGTGAAAATGAGCCCCAATAAAAAAAAAAATCCTCTGGCTCGTAGCTTAATCCTAATATCACTACTTTGCAGGTTGCATAATTTACATCCATGCAGACTTAGGATGAACCTGAAATCATAGGTAATGAGAAAATTTACTCATAACCTAGTGTTCATTTGATGGTTGTAAGGATCATAGACCAATATCCTGGTCTTGGACCAGACCTCCTGGTTGATAGCTTGGTCAGTCAGGCTGTTGGTGCTCTCAGTTCACTACCATTTGGCCAATCAAAAACTGCCTAAAGGAACCCTTCAAGCTCTCTTAAATACAATTAATATTTGGAGAAAAATTGGAATCTCTTGGACCTTTTATGCTTATCGAGTTGTCTCTTAATGTATAGTTCCTGTTGTTCTTCAGCTGGAGGGTATTACGCATTGTCTATCATTCCTTATATTTTCGTAAGAGCTAATGCTATTACATTATGCAAATATGGAACCACTCCCTCCATTATTTTCCAGGTGTCAGTTATGGCACTGCATCTTCCTCATTTGTGGTAAGGGAAATACAATTCAATTGATCTTGGTCATTTGCCTGAATTGATAGACCAGTGAAATTTCTTTGTTCATTCTGCAGGTCTGGAATTTTGAATACTTTAATAGGGGTTCTTAGTGTATAGCAGTGTTCCATTTTAGTAAACAGTGTTTTAAAAGATTTTCATTGACTAGGCCTCTCTTGTTTTGAAGGTTCTTGTATCTAGCCTATACAGTACTATAGTTTCAATTAATGCAGCTGGAACTGATGGGATCATGACAAATGTTAAAAGCAGGGGGGGATATAGTGTTGGAGTGGTTGGTATTTTTATTTAATAAATGTATGAAAGAGGGGAAGGTACCTAGGGATTGGCGGAGAGCATGTATAGTCCCTTTATATAAAGGGAAAGGGGACAAAAGAGAATGTAAAAATTATAGAGGAATAAGTTTACTGAGTATACCAGGAAAAGTATACGGTAGGGTTATAATTGAAAGAATTAGAGGTAAGACAGAATGTAGGATTGCGGACGAGCAAGGAGGCTTCAGAGTGGGTAGGGGATGTGTAGATCAAGTGTTTACATTGAAGCATATATGTGAACAGTATTTAGATAAAGGTAGGGAAGTTTTTATTGCATTTATGGATTTAGAAAAGGCATATGATAGAGTGGATAGAGGAGCAATGTGGCAGATATTGCAAGTATATGGAATAGGTGGTAAGTTACTAAATGCTGTAAAGAGCTTTTATGAGGATAGTGAGGCTCAGGTTAGGGTGTGTAGAAGAGAGGGAGAATACTTCCTGGTAAAAGTAGGTCTTAGACAGGGATGTGTAATGTCACCATGGTTATTTAATATATTTACAGATGGGGTTGTAAAAGAAGTAAATGCTAAGGTGTTCGGGAGAGGGGTGGGATTAAATTATGAGGAATCAAGTTCATAATGGGAATTGACACAGTTACTTTTTGCTGATGATGGGAGATTCTAAAGAAAAATTACAAAGGCTAGTAGATGAGTTCGAGAATGTGTGTAAAGGTAGAAAGTTGAAAGTGAACATAGAAAAGAGTAAGGTGATGAGGGTATCAAATGATTTAGATAAAGAAAAATTGGATATCAAATTGGGGAGGAGGAGTATGGAAGAAGTGAATGTTTTCAGATACTTGGGAGTTGACGTGTCGGCGGATGGATTTATGAAGGATGAGGTTAATCATAGAATTGATGAGGGAAAAAAGGTGAGTGGTGCGTTGAGGTATATGTGGAGTCAAAAAACGTTATCTATGGAGGCAAAGAAGGGAATGTATGAAAGTATAGTAGTACCAACACTCTTATATGGATGTGAAGCTTGGGTGGTAAATGCAGCAGCGAGGAGACGGTTTTAGGCAGTGGCGATGTCCTGTCTAAGGGCAATGTATGGTGTAAATATTATGCAGAAAATTCGGAGTGTGGAAATTAGGAGAAGGTGTGGAGTTAATAAAAGCATTAGTCAGAGTGCAGAAGAGGGGTTGTTGAGGTGGTTTGGTCATTTAGAGAGAATGGATCAAAGTAGAATGACATGGAAAGCATATAAATCTATAGGGGAAGGAAGGAGGGGTAGGGGTCGTCCTCGAAAGGATTGGAAAGAGGGGATAAAGGAGGTTTTGTGGGCGAGGGGCTTGGATTTCCAGCAAGCGTGCATGAGCGTGTTAGGAGTGAATGGAGACGAATGATACTTGGGACCTGACGATCTCTTGGAGTGTGAGCAGGGTAATATTTAGTGAAGGGATTCAGGGAAACCGGTTATTTTCATATAGTCGGACTTGAGTCCTGGAAATGGGAAGTACAATGCCTGCACTTTAACCCTTTGAGGGTCGACAGGCCCTCTCCGAGACTCGTTCTCAGGGTCGGCCAAATTTAAAAAAAAAAAAATAATTTTTTCTTATGAAAAGATAGAGAATCTTTTCCCGATCATAATGACACCAAAAATATGAAATTTGATGGAAAGCTTACAGAATTATGCTCTCGCGAAGTTAGCGGTCTCGGCGATGTTTACGGATCGGCGATTTTGCCCACTTTGAGCCCCATTTTCAGCCAATTCCACTGTACTAGTCGACAAAAAACATGAATATTTCGCTAGAACTCCATATTTTCTATTGAATGAGTGCAAGAAACCACCCATTTACCAATTTCCACTATCCAGTTCAGTGGTCAGAATTTAGCAATTTTGCCAATTTCACACAAATTTCAAAAGATGCCAATTTCCGAATAGGGTCCAGAACAAACAAGAAATACATTCCTGGCACTAAAATGACATTTCCTCTGTTCATTAGTCACATCTCAAGGCCCCTCTTAAATTCTTTTGCTTTCCACTTTGAATTTTTATTCTCACAAAAAATAGAAGATTTACTGTTATGCAGACTACTGCATTAGTGCAAAAAATGGTATGAATCATATTGGCGCACTTGCAAAAGAATATTAGACTCACCAGTTGACGTGAATTGGACGCTTGGCATGATTTGTTTACTTTTGAACTTTGGTAAAAATCGAACATTTCTGCTACTTTGAGCTCAATTTCAAGGTACTTTTCATTGTAAAACCAGTCAAAATCATCTCAATTTCTATGATATGCCTTCCATTCTATAAAATGAGACCAAGAAAACTAGAATACAACAATAAATACCATACGAAAATACAGTGCAAAGTCGCTGTTTTATTCCCAAAAAATGGTCAAAGTTTTTTTTTTCTCATTATGCACTGTGTGCTGCAGGATTTTTTTTATACTGTGCACACTGACCACATAGACCCATTCTTTCATATGGAGGCCTACCAGCTTTCTCCCACTAGAATTTAGGCGTACTAGTACGTCAAAAACCCTGGGTCGTAAGCCGTACTAGTACGTCAAAAACCCTCAAAGGGTTAAAGGAGGGGTTTGGGATATTGGCAGTTTGGAGAGATATGTTGTGTATCTTTATACATATATGCTTCTAAACTGTTGTATTCTGAGCATCTCTGCAAAAGCAGTGATAATGTGTGAGTGTGGTGAAAGTGTTGAATGATGATGAATGTATTTTCTTTTTGGGGATTTTCTTTCTTTTTTGGGTCACCCTGCCTCGGTGGGAGACGGCCGACTTGTTGAAAAAAAAAAAAATTATCTTCATTGAACTTGAAGATATGATATAGTTATCCCTTCATTCCTTGTGCAATTTTTGCTCAATCTAGGCATTTGATTGTCTTCTCTATTTTCTACCAGTTTTTATATCTTCAACTTTCCTATAAAGGAATAGAATATTTAACAAATTTCTTGGGATTTTTTTTTCTACAACTCAATTTCATTCTCCATATCTTTCTCTTTTTCTCTTTTTATTCTAGTTCTTTCTCTTTTTCTTATTCTCTCTCTCTCTTTATCTCTTTCTAAACAAAACTCGGAGTCGGCGAAAATGCCGATGCGTAAATTATGCCCAGACCGCAAACTTTGCACCTGCATAGTTCCATAAATTTTCCATCAGAATTTGTACTCTTGATGTCATGACCTTCAGAAAAAAGATTCTCTCCCATTTCAGATGAAAAGAATAAAAAAAAAAAAGTGGACACTGGGAGCAGTATTAATTTCTGGGCTTTGGACAGTGAAAGAGTTAATTGCAGGGTTCCCAACAGTGAAGGTTAAAAATAGTCAATAAAACACACTATGTTGAAAGAGGCTTCACTGTACGTATATAATAGTGATTATGCAACATAACTCACGAAATCGTAATAACGTGATTGCACACAAACACGGAACGCTTGGGAATTGAACCCATGGCAAGTTAGTCCTAAAACTCCAGGCTAGTGCATAAACCACTCGGCCAGCTGGCTACAATAAGATTCATCCAACTAAC